GCTATTTCAGTGGCCTCATGTGTTCCAGGAAGACTCAATTTATGACTGTCTACCTCTTATTCTATTTCATTTTATTTCAGTTTTTTCAGAGTCTCGTTCTGTCGCCCAGGCTGAAGTGCAGTGGTACAATCGTAGCTCGCCACAGCCTTGAACTCCAGGGCTCAAGCTATTTTCCCACCTCAGCCTCCCAGGTAGCTGGGACTACAGGCACACACCGACATGCCTGGCTAATTTTTTTTTTTAAGAGAGCTCACTATATTGCCCAGGCTGTTCTCTAACTCCTGGCCTCAATTGATCCTCCCACTTTGGCCTCCCAAAGTGTTGGGATTGCAGGTGTGAGCCACCTGGTGCTGCCACCTCTTATGTTAAAAGACTTAAGTAGCCCAGGTGCAGTGGCTCTTGCCTGTAATCCCAGCACTTTGGGAGTCCGAGGCAGGTGGATCACTTGAGGTCAGGAGTTTGAGACCAGCCTGACCAACATGGTGAAACTCAGTCTCTACAAAAAAAAACCCACAAAATTAGCTGGGCATAGTGTCACCTGCCTGTAATCCCAGCTACTTGGGAGGCTGAGGCAGGAGAATTGCTTAAACCCAGGAGGCGGAGCTTGCAATGAGCCAAGATTGTGCCATTGCTCTCCAACCTGGGCAAAAAGAGTGAAACTCTGTCTCCAGAAAAATAAAAAATAAGTCTTAAGTAGATTGGGTGGGTGAGAGGGAGCCATAGACTCCTGTGGAGCACCAGTGGAAAAAGAATCATTTATCTCAGTAGGTTCCATCGCAGCTAGATACACATCATTAAACCTTTCTGTAAAAGGTCCTTGCCCCCCCAAATAATAAAAAGCCATCTTAGATACTTTTTCCGAAGTATATATGTAACAAATTATAAAGAAATGCAAAGAATTATCTGTGGTCCAAGGAAGTGTGATATGTACTAGAAAAAAACAAGAGTGTTCTAAAATATAACTTCTCATTCAGCAAACTTTGTTATCCACAGTAGATCTCGTTATTCGTGGATTCTGTATTTGTGAATTCACCTACCTGCTAAATTTTGTTTATAACCCCCAAGTCAGTACTTATGGGACATTTGAGGTGAGCAGTGAAAATTCTGGATGGTCCAACACCTTTTCCCAGCTGAGGTCAAACAAAGGGAGATCCACCTTCTTACTTCAGCTCTCTCTGTTTTTGTTTGTTTGTTTGTTTTTGAGATGGGGTCTTGCTCTGTCGCCCAGGCTGCTGGAGTACAGTTGGGCACTCTTTGCTCCCTACAACCTCCACCTTTCTGGTTCAAGCAATTCCCCTGCCTCAGCCTCCCACGTAGCTGGGATTACAGGTGCACACCACCATGCCTGGCTAATTTTTTCGTACTTTTAGTAGAGATGGGGTTTCACCATGCTGGCCAGGCTGGTTTTGAATCCCTGACCTCAGGTGATTCCCCCCCATGCGGCCTCCCAAAGTGCTGGGATTAAAGGCATGCACCACTGTGTCCAGCCTATTTTGAAATAGTTTAAGGCACACAAGAAGCCACAAAAATGGTCTAAAGAGTCCCCATGTGCCCTTCACTCACACCCACAGTGGTGATATATATAACAAAACCAAGGGCAATTTCAAAACTAGGGCACATCCCAGGCGTAGATTTTAGTAACAAGCACCTCAGTGAAGATGCAGGATGATTTTGTCACTGCAAAGAAGCAGCGATGTCTTCTTTACGAATTGTATTTATTTATCTATCTATTTATTTATTTATGAGACACGATCTTGCTCTGTTGCCCAGGCTGGAGTACAGTGGCGCAACCATAGCTCACTGCAGCCTTGAACTCCAGGGCTCAAGCAGTCCTCCTGCCTCAGCCTCCCGAGTAGGTAGGACCACAGGTGTGCACTACCATGCTCACCTAATTTTTGCATTTTTGTAGAGTCAGGATCTCCCTACGTGGCCCAGGCTGGTCTTGAACTCCTGGGCTGCTCAAGCACTGATCCTCCCACCTAACCCTCCCAAAATGCTGGGATTACAGCGATGAGCCACCATGCTAGCTCTTTTTTCAGTTGTGGTAAAATACATATAACATAAAATTTGCCGTGTTAACCGTTAACCATCCCTAAGGGCACAGTTCAGCGACATTAAGCACATTCGAATTGCTGTGCAACCATCACCTCCATCCATTTCTAGAACGTTCTCAGCTTCCCAACCAGAAACCCCATCCCATGAAACACTCGCTCCCCATTCCCCTCCTCAGCACCTGGTACCCCGTACTCTACTCTCTGTCTCTGTGAATCTGATGACTCTAGCAACGTCCTAGGAGTGGAATCACATGGGATTTGTCCTTTTGTATCTGGTTTATTTCACTGAGCTTGATATCCTCAAGGTGTATCCATGTTGTGGCAGGTGTCAGAATTTCCTGCCTTTTAAAGAGGTGACTCATATTCAGTGAAACAGTGACTTCTTTGACCTTTTTTTGACTTTTTAGGAAGTCCCCACTCTACCGGGGAATGGCTTTTTTTTTTCTCTTTTGAGACAGTCTTGCTCTGTCACCCAGGCTGGAGTGCAGTGGCGTGGTCTTGGCTCACTGCAACCTCCACCTCCCGGGTTCAAGTGATCCTCCTGCCTCAGCCTCCCAAGTAGCTGGGACTGCAGGTGTGCATCACCACACCCGGCTAATTTTTGTATTTTTAGTAGAGACAGGGTTTCACCATGTTGGTCAGGCTGGTCTTGAACTCCTGGTCTCAGCTGATCCACCGCCTCGACCTCCTAAAGTGCTGAGATTGCAGCTGGCCAGATGCTATTTTTAGTGAGTTTTTCTTCTATCGAGTATTTATTCTAATAGAGCGGAATTTATCTGACCCCAGTCAGGACCTCAGTCCATAAGCAACCCTCTGCCAGCCATGCCAGGATGCTGGGCAAAGCATACATCTCAGGGTTTGCCCCATATTTGTACATTACAGTCAGAATCGCCTGGGTGGAGTTGAATGTTGTACAGACACGGCAGGAAATGCCTGTCCCGGACTGTGTCGCCTTTGGTTCGGGATTCCTGTTTTTTTACATAGGTGTTGCTGTGTGAGTGACGTCTCTATCTGCTTTGTCTCCTATAATGGTAATTGTTAGTAACTTATTATCATGATGTCAGAATGTTTCTGTCCAGTGAACACATGTCATCATGCTTGCTGTGCTGAGCTGTGGAAGGAATGAACAGCGCCAGAGGATATGTGTAATGTGGTGGTCCCCAGCTTAGTGGCTGATGTCGTAATTGGCAAACATCCTCTACTCCTCTGCCGGAAAATCTCTAACACTACCCAACTGCACCTTACCTTCACCTTCCATAAATTTTTTTTTTTTTTTGAGACAGAGTCTAGTTCTGTCACCCAGGCTAGAGCGCCAATGATGTGATCTCAGCTCGTCACAACCTCTGCCTCCCGAATTCAATCAATTCTCCTGCCTCAGCCTCCTGAGTAGCTGGGATTACAGGTGCCCGCCATCACGCCCAGCTAATTTTTGTATTTTTAGTAGAGACAGGGTTTCACTCTGTTGGCCAGGCTGGTCATGAAGTCCTGGCCTCGTGATCCGCCTGCCTCGGCTTCCCAAAGTGCTGGGATTACAGGCATGAGCCACCGTGCCCGGCCCAGATTTCTTTTTAATGCTACTTACTCTTTGTCCCTACCTGGGCAGAGCTTTAAGACACAATTTATAAAATGTAAGAATAAACTAGCCGTGTAGTCCATCCCAACGAGGCTTCAAATAGGAAGGGAAAACTGAGTGTAATGAGTGATAGTTGACATTTCATTAGGAGTTGCATCTCGGGAGGCCGAAGCAGGAGGACCACTTGAAGCCGGGAGTTCAAGACCGGAGTTCAAGACAGCCTGGGCAACATAGCGAGACCCCGCATCTCTCTACAAAAAAAAAGTTTTTTTAATTATACAGCACACCTGTAGTCCCAGCTACTCAAGAGACTGAGGCAGGAGGATTGCTTGAGCCTAGGAGTTTAAAGCTGCAGTGAACTATGGTTGCGCCACCGCGCTCCAGCCTGAGCTACAGAGTGAGACCGTCTCTAAAAATAATAATTAGTTAAAAGAGTTGCAACTTTCCGTGAGTAGGTAAGCTTATCCTATAGTCTGAACCCTTAAATTAGTGAACAGATATGGATGTAGTGAACAAAGGCAAGCTGTTGGCTCACTGCAACCCTCACCTCCCCAGTTCAAGTGATTCTCCTGCCTCAGCCTTTCAAGTAGCCCCTGTTTGCAGCCCCTGTTGATGTTGGGTTGGTTTGGGTTATGAGACAGAACCAGAGCCTCACGTCCCGTGGATGGTAGAATTCCATTCCAGTGCTGATGACCAGGGGCAGCTAAACACCAAGCCCTGCGACCTCTGGGTCTTAGAGTCATCCTAACATCTGATCTCAGATGAATTCTCATTATGTGCCTGGTATTGGTATGAAGCACGCCAGGCGCACAGCTGCCTGTTTCCTGATCTTAGACTATTTACAGCAAACTCAAACAGCTCACTGGCTTTTTACACCCAGCAAAAACCAAGGGAGAGCGGGAGAGGTTTGTTTTTTTTTTTTCTGTTTTATTCTACCAAAGCAGCAAATACTGTGCAATTTCCACACTAAATGGTCACAGTGGGGACCAATATCCTGCCCTCCAGACCCGCTGCTTCAGCCAATACAGCAAGGGAAGACGCAGCTCTGTTTTCTAGAAGGATCCCACCGAGGCATAAAAACGGCACAGCCCAGCCTGGCCCCGAGCCTGGTCCCGGAGCCCCTGGCGCGACCATGGGGAACGCTCACTCCAAAAGCGGGGACAGGCACGGTGCGCTCCCCGGCCGCCCCGAGCTGTCTTTTTACGGCTCTTTCCCCAGGAAATGGAGCGAGAACGTCTTCTTGGATAACGAGCTGCTGACCTCCAAGATCCTGTCGGTGCTGCGGCCACAGTCGGAGCGGGGCTTCCGTGCCGGCGACCTCCGCTACCCGACCCACTTTCTCAGCACCAACTCTGTCCTTGCCTCTGTCACAGCCTCGCTCAAGGAGCACCCCCGGGGCACCCTCCTGTCTGATGGCAGCCCAGCCCTCTCCAGGAATGTCGGTATGACGGTCTCTCAGAAAGGTGGTCCCCAGCCAACACCGAGCCCGGCTGGCCCTGGGACGCAACTCGGGTAAGCCGGGGTCCCCTCTCTGTCCTGGGGTGGGTGGCATTCCCCGGGGAGCTGTTGGCAGCCTCTCTCCAGAGGGAGGCCCCGACTTAGATCTGCACAAATCCACACGGCAGCCCACACGCTAAGCAGAGAGATTCCCATTAGCACTTGCTTCCAGGGTCCACGCCTTTTTGCAAAAACGGTGGTCCCGGGGTGTATTCAGCCACTGGTGGAGCCAGTTCTCTTAATAGAACTGGCTCTATTGAGCCAGGATCTTGAGGGATCCTTACTTACTCGAGACAATGCTCAAAGTCCTGCTGGGCATGTGTGGAGGCGCCTTCCCGTGATCTGTGCCTTAACCTCATTTTATAGGACTTCAAAGTGGTTCCTTTGATAATGCCTTCAGGCATCCGGGTAGAAGGTGATGCTAGAAGCTGATATGTGCGTGCTGACTATTCCATGAGTTCATGGGAAAGGGGGTCGATTATCTTTTTTCCTCTGAGTAAGGACTGTCCTACCCCTGACCATGAAGCCATTTCCACTTAACTCCTGGTAGAAAAGATCCCAGGCCCCCAAGTGGGCTCCAGGGGTCTGTCAAGGAAGCTGCAACCCACACCCCATTTTGAACATCCATAACATTAGAGGAAGTTACTATGGAAGAAGTACTCATGTGACATTGACAGATAATCTCCCTTTTTTTTTTCTTGAGACAGAGTCTCACTCTGTCACCCAGGCTGGAGTACAGTGGTGCAATTTCAACTCACCACAACCTCTGCCTCCTGGGTTCAAGTGATTCCCTTGCCTCAGCCTTCCAAGTAGCTGAGACTATAGGCACCTGCCACCACACCCAGCTAATTTTTGTATTTTTAGTAGAGACAGGGTTTTGCCATGTTAGCCAGGCTGATCTCAAGCTCCTGACCTCAGGTGATCAGCTGGCCTTGGCCTCCCAAAGTGCTGGGATTACAGGTGTGAGATACTGTACCCAGCAAATCTCCCAATTTTTAAAAATGATCTGTAGACAAAGTAGAGGCTTCTGTGAAAATGTGGAAAGTTCTCAGAGGGTATCGAAGTGGAAGGAGTCACCGATGTGCCTTTGTTGCATGAGACTGTGTTTTTAATTCACTTTTCTAAAACAATTGTTTTTATTGTTTGCCCTCAGACCAATCACAGGAGAGATGGATGAAGCCGATTCTGTGTTTTTAAAATTTAAGCAGGCAGCTGATGACTCTGTGTCCCTCACGTCTTCGAACAATGAGTCCGTTTTTGTAGAAGGTATGGTCATCTCCTCACTCTTGCGGCTGTCACACAGTTTCTGTCCCTCCTGGGAAGAGCTGGGACCTGTGTCAGCATGTCCACGGGAGGGAGTCAGGGTGGCGTGGCTCTGGGCCCCCAGCAGCTGCCCTTTACTCTTCCCTCAGATCCCTACGCCGCCTCACTGAGGAGTGAGATCGAGTCAGACGGCCACGAGTTCGAAGCTGAGTCCTGGAGCCTCACCGTGGACCCGGCCTACGCCAAGAAGCAAAAGAGAGAGGTGGTGAAAAGACAAGACGTCCTTTATGGTGAGGAGTCCAAAGCCCTGTGCCACCACGCCGGCCCTCCACTCTCTTCTCTGTTCACTCCCTCCTTCCCTCCCTCCTTTTTTCCTTATCTTTATCTTTCTCTCTCTTTTGTTCTCTTTCTTTTTTTTTTCTTTTTTGAGACAGAGTCTCTCACTGTTGCACAGGCTGGAGTACAGTGGCACAATCAGAGCTTATTGCAGCCTCAACCTCCTGGGCTCAAACAGTCCTCCCACCTCAGCCTCCCCAGTAGCTGAGACCACAAGCATGGGCCACCACACCTGGCTAATTTTTATATTTTCTGTAAAGACGGAGTCTTACCATGTTGCCCAGGCTGGTCTCAATCTCCTGAGCTCAAGTGATCTGCCCACTTTGGCCTCCCAAAGTATTGGAATTACAGGTGTAAGCCACGGCAACCGGCCTCTCCCTCCCTCGCTCCCTCCCTCCCTCCCTCCCTCCCTCTCTCTCTCTCTCTCCCTCTCCCTCCCTTGGTTCAGCCCTGCCTCCCATGCCAGGGAGGCGATGGCCGGAGAGGATTTTGTTGGAATTCGTCCCGGGTCAGCCTCATTCTTCCCTTGTCGGTGGCCGTCTCAGGTGCCCTAGAACCAACAACAGTTTGTTGCTCACAGTTCTGGAGGCTGGGAAATCTGAGGTCAAGGTGGCACAGACTTAGTGTCCATCGAGGGTCCACTTCCTGGTGTATTGATGGTGGCATCTAGCTGTGTCCTCACATGGCTTTCATGGTCTCCCTCAGGCCCTTTTTTTTTGAGACGGGCCTCACTCCGTCACCCAGGCTGGATGCAATGATGCAATCTCGGCTCACTGCAACCTCCGCCTTCCCAGTTAAAGTGATTCTCCTGCCTCAGCCTCCTGAGTAGCCGGGATTACAAGTGCCTACCACCACACCCAGTTAATTTTTGTGGTTTTTGGTAGAGACAAGGTTTCACTGTGTTTTGGCCAGACTGGTCTCGAACTCCTGACCTCAAGTGATCCGCTCACCTTCGCCTCCCAGAGTGCTGGGATTATAGGCGTGAACCTCTATCGCCCGCAACCCTCAGGTCCTTTTCATAAGGGCACTAGTCCTACCTTGAGGCTCTGCCTCATGACCTTATCACCTTCTAAGGGCCCCACCTCCTGATACTATCACCTTGGGGGTTAGCATTTTGACATATGAATTTTGGGGAACACATGCTGGGTGCAGTGGCTCATGCCTGTAATCCCAGCACTTTGGGAGGCTGAGACGGGTAGATAACAAGGTCAAGAGATCTAGACCATCCTGGCCAACTTGGTGAAATTCTGTCTCTACTAAAAATACAAAAATTAGCCGGGCGTGGTGATGCGTACCTGTAATCCCAGCTACTTGGGAGGCTGAGGCAGGAGAATCTCTTGAACCCAGGAGGTGGAGGTTGCAGTGAGCTGAGATCACACCATTGCACTCTAGCCTGGGCAACAGAGTGAGACTCAGTCTCAAAAAGGAATTTTGGGGAACACAAACATCTTGTTCATTGCAGTGTAGGTCTGTTCAGGGACACACACAGCTGTGTGAGTTTTACACCTATAGGAGTGTTCCTCAGAATACTCTTCTGCTAAAAAGACAGACTTGATAGCCAGGCCTGGTGGTGGGCACCTATAATCCCAGCCGCTCAGGAGGCTGAGGCAGGAGAATCACTTGAACAGGGGAGGCAAAAAAAATAACGACCGGGCTTGATGGCTCACGCCTGTAATCCCAGCACTTTTGGAGCTGAGGTGGGCCGATCACCTGAGGTCAGGAGTTGAAGACCAGCCTTGCTAACATGGTGAAATTTCATCTGTACTTAAAATACAAAAATTAGCTATGTGCTGGCACATGTCTGTAATCTCAGCCACTCAGGAGGCTGAGGCAGGAGAATCGCTTGAACCTGGGAGGCGGAGGTGGTACTCCCACCTGGGTGACAGAGCAAGACTCTGTCTCAAAAAAAATAAAATAAAATAACTACACAGACTTAAAATGTTGTCTGATGACACTGTGGGCAAAACCCTCCTGTGATGGGAGGCCCCAGGGGTCTCTCCTTCCCCTGCTCCATCAGGCTGGGCATCCCCACAGCACTCAAAACCCTGAACACTCTGGGAAGTAAGAAAGACCCCAAAGGTGCAAGGTCTTAGGCAGAGAACTCTCAGAAGCCTACTAGGCACATGAAGGGCAGGCGGCAGCCAAGACTGCCGCGTGGGGCCGTGGAGCCAGCGAGGGCAGGTCCTGCCATCCGTGTCCCTGCAGAGCTGATGCAGACGGAGGTGCACCACGTGCGGACGCTCAAGATCATGCTGAAGGTGTACTCCAGGGCCCTGCAGGAGGAGCTGCAGTTCAACAGCAAGGCCATCAGCCGCCTCTTCCCATGCGCTGACGACCTGCTGGAGCTGCACAGCCACTTTCTTGCTCGGCTCAAGGGGCGCCGCCAGGAGTCCCTGGAGGAGGGCAGTGACCGGAATTACATCATCCAGAAAATCGGTGACCTCCTGGTTCAGCAGGTGGGTGCAGCCATGTTCACCTGAACGGTCTTCACAGCCTGTGCCCTGTCTCTGTTCCTTTCTTATTCTTTTTTTTTTTTGAGATGGAGTTTCCCTCTTGCCCAGGCAGGAGTGCAGTGGCGCGATCTGCTCACCGCAACCTCTACCTCTTGGGTTCAAGTGATTCTTCTGCCTCAGCCTGGAGTAGTTGGGATTACAGGCGCCCACCACCACATCTAGCTAATTTGTCTAGTTTTTAGTAGAGACTGGGTTTCACCATGTTGGCCAGGCTGGTTTCAAACTCCCGACCTCATGCGATCTGCCCACCTCAGCTTTCCAAAGTGCTGGGATCACAGGTGTGACTCTGTTCCTTTCTTCTTTTTTCTGAGATAGGGTCTTGCTGTGTCACCCAGGACAGAATGCTGTGGTGCAGTCACAGCTCGATGCAGCCTCAATCTCCCAGGCTCAGGTGATTCTCTTACCTCAGCCTCCCAAGTAGCTGGGACTCCAGGGAACACTATGCCTGGCTAATTCTTTTATTTTTTGTAGAGATGGGGTCTTGCTTTGTTGCCCAGGCTGGTCTCAAATTCCTGGCCTCAAGCAGTCTTCCCGCCTCAGCCTTCCAAGGTGCAGGAATCACAGGTATGAGCCATTGTGCTAGCCTGTTCTTTTATTTTTCTTTCTTTTTTTTTTTTTTTTTTTTTTGAGACAGAGTTTCGCTCTTGTTACCCAGGCTGGAGTGCAATGGCGCGATCTCAGCTCACTACAACCTCCGCCTCCTGGGTTCAGGCAATTCTCCTGCCTCAGCCTCCTGAGTAGCTGGGATGACAGGCACGCGCCACCGTGCCCAGCTAATTTTTTGTATTTTTAGTAGAGACGGGGTTTCACCATGTTGACCAGGATGGTCTCGATCTCTTGCCCTCGTGATCCACCCGCCTCGGCCTCCCAAAGTGCTGGGATTACAGGTGTGAGCCACCGCGCCCAGCCGCCTGTTCTTTTCAATTAGTAACATGAGGGTGGCTCCTGTTTGTCAAGTGCCTACTCCCTGAGGATTTACAGTTCTGAGCCCCTTACAGCAATGCCTGCAGTTCATATTCTAGAAACACAGGGGCCCAAATTAGCCGGTGTCCCTGGCTATGAACACTATTCAGCGTTACTTTCTTCGGTGCTCGTTTCATTGGTTGGTTTTGCTTTTTAGTTCAAATCACTGATGCTTTCAACCGTTCAAAGCGTACCTATTGGCTGAGTGCAGTGGCCCACACCTGTAATCCCAGCACTTTCGGAGGCCAGACAGGTGAATTGCTTGAGCCTAGGAGTTCCAGACCAGCCTGGGCAACATAGCAAGACCCTGTAGGTACAAAATATGAAAATTCAGCCAGCTGTGGTCGGGCATGATAGCTCACACCTATAATCCCAGCACTTTGGGAGGCCGAGGCAGGCAGATCACCTTGAGGTCAGGAGTTAAAGACCAACCTGGCCAGTATGATAAAACCCATCTCTACTAAAAAATAAAAATTAGCTGGGCAAGTAGCAGTCACCTATAATCTCAGCTACTCGGGAGGCTGAGGCAGGAGAATCACTTGAACCTGGGAAAACGAGGTTGCAGTGAGCCAAGATTGTGCCACTGCACTCCAGCCTAGAAGACACAGCAAGATTCTGTCTCAAAAAAAAGAGTCAGCTGTAGTGTACAGCTGTAGTCCCAGCTACTTGGGAGGCTAAGGTGGGAGGATCATTTGAGCTCAGCTGCAGTGAGGTATGATCATCCCACTGCCCTCCAGCCTAGGCGACACAGCAAGACACCATCTCACTGGGGGAAAGAAAAAATGCATACCTGTGGACCATCACCATCCGTGATAGTGATATTAACCCCAAATGATCGCCCTACGCCAAGATTTACCCAGGGGAGCTGTGCCCCTCATGTGACCTCACACTGTTTGTTCGAGGCATTGTGGATCAACTAATTAAAAAAACACTCCTCCTTTTGCTTTTTATGTTTCTTTCTTTTTTTGAGATGGAATCTTGCTCTGTCACCCAGGCTGGATAGAGTACAATGGCATGATGTTGGCTCACTATCCACCTCCCAGGTTTGAGCAGTTCTCATGCCTCATTCTCCCAAGTAACTGGGATTGCAGGCACGTGCCACTATACCCGGCTAATTTTTTGTGTGTTTTTATTAGAGATGGGGTTTCACCATGTTGGCCAGGCTGGTCTCGAACTCCTGACCTCAGGTGATCTGCTTGCCTCATCCTCCCAAAGTGCTGGGATTACGTGTGTGAGCCACCAAGCCAGCGTGCTTTTTATGTTTCTAACGTCCTTTGGCTGAAATTTATTTTTTTTTCTTGGCTCTCAGCAAGTTTTATAGCATCTGTGATGTAGCAAAGCCTGAAGCAAAAGGTTTTTTTCAATTTCTTTATTACACCTTGAGATGAGACACCCCCAATTGAAGTATTTCTCTGTTTGAGGACATATTAGAAAATGGAATTGCAGCCAGGCACTGTGGCTCACACTTGTAATCCCAGTGCTTTGGGAGGCTGAGGCGGATGGATCACTCAAGGCCAGCCTGGCCAACGTGGTGAAATACTGTCTCTATTAAAAGAAAAAAATTTAAATTAGCCAGGCATGGTGGCGGCACCTGTAATCCCAGCTACTCGGGAGGCTGTGGCAGGAGAATCCCTTGAACCTGGGAGGCGGAGGTTGCAGTGAGCCGAGATCCTGCCACTGCACTCCAGCCTGGGCCACAGAGCAAGACATTGTCTCTAAAATAAAAAAAGAAAGAAAGGGCCAGGTGCAGTGGCTCATGCCTGCAGTCCCACACTTTGGGAGGCCAAGGTGGGTGTATCACCTAAGGTCAAGAGTTGGAGACCAGCCTGACCAACATGGAGAAACCCCGTCTCTACTAAAAATATAAAAATAAGCCGGGTGTGGTGGCGCGTGCCTGTAATCCCAGCTACTCCAGAGGCTGAGGCAAGAGAACTGTTTGAACCCAGGAGGCGGAGGTTGTGGTGAGCAGAGATCACACCATTGTACTCCAGCCTGGGCAACAAGAGCAAAACTCAATCTCAAAAGAAAGAAAGAAAATGGAACGCAAATAAATCTAATATTTATTTTAGCGGAGTCAGATGAATTTGATGAAAATATCCTTTGGCAGTTTTTGTGTTTGACTGAGTAACATTTCCTTTCTTTTGTCTATCAGTTTTCAGGTGAAAATGGCGAGAGAATGAAAGAAAAGTACGGTGTGTTTTGTAGTGGCCACAATGAAGCTGTCAGTCATTATAAGTTGCTGCTTCAGCAAAACAAGAAATTTCAAAACTTGATTAAGGTAAAAACACAGTTTGTTTGTTTTTTATCAAAACCTTATATTCTTCGCTGTGGGTTTTTCCCATAGAATTGTGGAGTCTTGGGAATTGGGAAGTATAAGACACCTGTTATGTAGCCGTGAGTTTTAAGGTTTGGATTTGGTTTTAACCACAACCCCATTTAGAACCTATCAGTGAAATCTCACGTAGAATCCTGAGACATCGGCTGGGTGCGGTAATCCTAGCACTTTGGGAGGCCGAGGTGGGCAGATCACCAGGTCAGGAGTTAGAGACCATCCTGGCTAACACAGTGAAACCCCACCTCTACTAAAAATACAAAAATTAGCTGAGTGTGATGGCACATGCCTGTAGCTACTCGGGAGGCTGAGGCAGGAGAATCGCTTGAACCCAGGAGGTGGAGGTTGCAGTGAGCCAAGATCGTGCCATTACACTACAGCCTGCATGACAGTGTGAGACTCTGTCTCAAACAAACAAAAGAAACCTGAGATGTGAACCAAAGCAGGCCCGAGGCAGAGTCTCGTGCCTGCCAGATGCAGAGTCTCACGCCTGTAATTCTAGCACTTCGAGAGGCCAAGGTGGGAGGATTGCTTGAGGCCAGGAGTTCAAGACCAGCCTGGGCCACATAGCAAGATCCTGTCTCTTCAAAAAATGTAAAAGTTAGCCAGGCATGATGGTGCACACCTGTATCCCCAGCTACTCCAGCAGCTAAGGAGGGGAAATCACTTGAGATCAGGAGTTTAAGACCAGCCTGGGCAACATAGCAAGACACCCATCTCTATTTTATATAGACATACACATACACACACACACATATATATGTATACATACATATATATACATATTAACAAAATCAATCAAAGAAAGCATATCTAGACTTTTTGCCTTGCCATGCCACCGTGGCCCCTGAGAGGCCCCTGCAGCCCTCAGCATGGGACCTGCCGACCATCACTTTTCAGACTGTTTGAATGACACAAAGAATTTGTTTGAAGGGGCTGCCACAGGATCTGGCCCTCCAGAGCCAGCCTGTTTTACCATGGGGATGCCAGCTGTCTTGAGGGTTATTCCAAACCTCTGTCACCTAGCTGGTCCCTGTTTGCCCCTGGGGCATGTAGAATAATCTTCCTGCCTCCTTTAAGTGAGAGTGGGTAGGTGCTCAGAGCCCAGCTGGAGTCAGCCAAGTCAAGGGAGACCCCACCTCCAGCACCCTACAAACCACACTTGGGACCAGGCGTGGTGGCTCATGCCCATAATCCCAGCACTTTGGGAGGCCGAGGTGGGTGGATCACAAGGTTAGGAGTTCGAGACCAGCCTGGCCAACAAGGTGAAACGCTGTTTCTACTAAAAGTACAAAAATTAGCCGGGTGTGGTGGCTACTTGGGAGGCTGAGGCAGGAGAATTACTTGAACCTGGGAGGCAGAGGTTGCAGTGAGCCGAGACTACACCGTTGCACTCTAGCCTGGGCAACAGAGCGAGACCCGACTAAAAAAAAAAAAAAAGAAACCGCACTTGGACTACAGGTAGTCGGTTCTATCAACGTTGACCTCTTCAGAGGCCCTAACACCACCGATTCCACAAGAGCTGCATCACCTGTGACCTGGCCAGGACTTGGTTCTACAGTGGCATTCTACACCCAGGGGTCCAAAGTCAGGAGTGACATGCATTTAAGCTTCATTGCATTATAGGTAGGTGGGAACGGGAGAGAATAGTTTTGGAGCCACAGTTCCTCAAAGCAGGGAGGGGGATTCCAATGAACCCTCCATCCATGGACTCTTGCAAACCCCACAGCAGCTCTGGTCCTCTTAAGCAGCTCCTTGCAAGTGCCGGCATCCCTAAAATGCGTACAAGAGCAGCGGGAGCAAACGAGCAGAAAATGTGCTATGCTCCCGAGAGTGAGCGACAGGTGACCGCTTCTGGTTCTCAGCCACAGGCGAGCATCAGAAAGCACCCAGGATGGGCGTGGTGGCTCAAGCTTGGGATCCCAGCACTTCTGGGGAGGCCAAAGTGGGTGGATCACCACACCTGGCCTTTTGTGGCCTTTGTGTATACAGCAGGTGATCCCTGCTTAGGTATTTCGTGTCTTTCTCCTCCAGAGCAGGAACGGAAAGGTCCGGGTGAGCAGAAAAAGGAAGGTGCCCCAGCCTTGGCAGCCAATTGTTGACTAATTGGGCAGGAGCTGAGGTGTTAATATGGGGTCTTGCTTTCTGTTTCCTAGAAAATTGGCAACTTCTCCATCGTGCGGCGGCTTGGTGTGCAGGAGTGCATTCTCCTGGTTACACAGCGCATAACCAAATACCCAGTGCTGGTGGAGCGCATCGTCCAGAACACGGAAGGTAGGCCTCCTCCCCGCTGCCCGTCCACCTGCTACAGCCTGGGGCCCTCTCCCCGCCCTCACTCCCTGTTTTAGCTGTGGACTGGATAAATTCCCTTTGGAATCCACTTTGCTGGGTGCTGAGGTTTCTTTTCTTTCTTTTTTTTTTGAGATGGAGTTTTGCTCTTATTGCCCAGGCTGGAGTGCAGTGGTGCGATCTCGGCTCACTGCAACCTCCACCTCTTGGGTTCAAGCTATTCTCATGTCTCAGCCTTCTGAGCAACTGGGATTACAGGCGCATGCCACCATGCCTGGCTAATTTTTGTATTTTTAGTAGAGACAGGGTTTCATCATGTCGGCCAGGCTGGTCTCAAACTCCTGACCTCACAATCTGCCCACCTTGGCCTCCCAAAGTGCTGGGATTACAGGCATGAGCCCCCACATCTGGCTCTTCTTTACAGGTGGGTGCCTGTAATCCCAGCTACTTGGGAGACTAAGGCAGGAGAATTGCTTAAACCTGGGAGACAGAGATTGCAGTGAGCCAAGATCATGACATTGTACTCCAGCCTGGGCCACAGAGTGAGACTCCATCTCAAAAAAAAAAAAAAAAAAAAACTGAACTCTGGGGTGTTGCACTTGTTTTGAAGAACCATTTGCATCTCAGGAGATCACAGTTGGGAAGTGATCTTGAGGATCTTCTGAGTGGTGGCCATGGAGAACACAACTCCTAGATCCCACATGCCCTTATGTAGCGAGTGTGTCCACTTCTGTTGTGTTTGTGAAAGTGGAAAGGAGAGAAGCTAACTCTACTGTGTGTGGCAGCTGGCACTGAGGACTATGAAGACCTGACCCAGGCTCTGAACCTCATCAGAGATATCATCTCACAAGTGGATGCCAAGGTCAGCGAGTGTGAGAAGGGCCAGCGCCTCAGGGAGATCGCAGGGAAGATGGACCTGAAGTCCTCCAGCAAACTCAAGAACGGACTCACCTTCCGCAAGGAAGACATGCTTCAGCGGCAGCTGCACCTGGAGGGCATGCTGTGCTGGAAGACCACATCAGGGCGCTTGAAAGGTAAAGGTCTGCCCCTGGCCACCTCTAGTGGGTGCCATCTTGGATAAGTGGTCGCCATCTTGGATTGGTTGGTACTCTCCTGATTGGTGGCACTATCCTGTATCTGTGGGTACTATTTTGGGATGTTGGTTGTCATTTTGTATTGGTGGGTATCATGTTGGATTGGTGGCACCATATTGGATGGTTGGGTGCTATCTTGGCTTGGTAGCACCATCTTGGGAGTTTTGGGCACCCTCTTAGAATGGTGGATGCCGTCTTGGATCAGAGGGCATCATCTTGGATTGGTGGGTGCTATTTTGGATTAGTAGCTCCATCTTTAGTGGTGGCACCATCTTGGAGTGGTGACTGTCTTCTTTAAATGGTGGGCACTCTCTTGGATTGGTGAGCACCCTCTTGGGTTGATGGGTGCCATCTTGGATTGGTGGCACAGTCTTGGGAATGGTAGAACCATCTTGGATCAATGGCACCATCTTGGTGGGTGCCCTCTTGAATCAGTGGGCACCATTTCGGTTGGTGGGTGCTATCTTGGATTGGTGTCATGGTCTTGGGAGTGATGGCACCATCTTGGATCAGTGGGTGCCATCTTGGTTGCTAGTGCCATCTTGGATTGGTGGCACAGTCTTGGGAGTAGTGACATCATCATGGATCAGTGAGCACCATCTTGGAATGGTGGCATCATCCTAGATCAGTAGGCTCCCTCTTGGATCAGTGGGCACCATTTTGATTGGTGGGTGCCATCTCGGATCAGTGAGATGGTCTTGGGAGTGATAGCACTATCTTTGATTAGTGGGTGCCATCTTGGACTGGTGGCATGGTCTTGGGAGTGGTGGCGTCATCTTGGATCAGTGGGTGCCCTCTTGGATCGGCGGGCACCATGTTGGTTTGGTGTGTGTCAACTGACACAGAGCCACTGAGGTCTGGCTACTTCATGGCTGAAGGGAGGTTATGAGCTGAGTCAGGATGAGCAAGGCAGCTGGTGTGTGGCATAAAACGAGGTGGCTGTATCACCGTTCCTCCTCCTCTGGTCTTTGGAATGGTGCAGTACAAACCAGGAAGGTACACTGAGTCATTGACTTCCAGATGGAAACCCAGGGTGTTGGCATCATGACACCCCAGGTTTGGGCCCAGAATTCCAAACACGCTCAGCTGCCCATCTGGACAGTCACGGGCCAGCCTGCCTGCCATGGGCCCAACCACTGAGAGGCCCCCATGTGGATAGAGAATACCCCCAGGACTGCTGGTCATTGTCCCCAAGCATCCCACTCGCTGCCCGGGGTGTGGTCCGAGCCCTGCTTTCAAGATCCATGTTGCAGGTCAGACCAGAGTGCTCAGGCTTTATCCCTGGTTTCCTGTTCCTTTTTGGAGCCTCTAGAGGCATCCCAAGCTATCTATTCACATCAGCATCTTTAAAGAGCTTGAGGGAGTCATTGAGGTGGCCAAATGCCAGCATTTGCCCACTGGTCATTTGAGTAGGAGTGTATTTCTCAGATAGATTTAGTGCCTTCTGCCCACCAGGCACTGAGTTGGGTGGTAAGAATACACCCCACAGGACAAGACCTGGCCCCTAGCCTCCTAGGGCTTCAGTCACTGGGGCTGAAAGAGAGAAACAAGCAAACAGAAAAACGGGTTAGAAGCCCAACTGATGCTTTAAGGAAGCCAGTAGGCTGTAGTGCAAGAGAATTAGCAAAAGTGTGTCTGACTTAGACAGGGGTGTCGGAAGCAGCTCCCCGAAAGTGGTGTTGCCCTTGAAACGCACATCTTACGTGGATGGCAGCTGGTGAAAAGAGAGGGAGCTTGTGCAGGGAAAAATCCCCCTTATAAAACTGTCAGATCTCGTGAGACTCATTCACTGTCATGGGAACAGCATGGAAAAGACCTGCCCCCATGGTTCAATTACCTCCCACTGGGTCCTTCTCACAGCACGTGGGAATTCAAGAGGAGATGTGGGTGGGGACACAGCCAAGCCATATCAGACACTCAAAGTCAGACCCAGCAGGTGTGTTGTTACAGCAAAGAGAACACTTGAGCTCTGGACGTGGAAGGGACTTAGAGGAGGCTCCAGCTGCTCGTTGGTGCAGAAGGTTGAGAACTAGAAAGGTGATGGGGGGTGGGAGGCGAGGCAGAAAGGAAACTTCTTAGCCCAGGTGGAAACATCAAACTGCTTATACCTTCCTGGGAGGCGGCATCTGCCAGGGTGCCCAGAAAGACCTCCTGGCCTCCTTCCATGCTGTTTCCCCAGATGTCCTGGCTGTCCTGCTGACCGACGTGCTTTTGCTCCTACAAGAAAAAGATCAGAAATACGTCTTTGCTTCTGTGGTATGTATCCTCTCTTCAGACGGAGGGTCAGCCGGGTGCGGTGGCTCATGCCTGTAATCACAACACTTTGGGAGGCCAAGGCAACCAGATCACTTGAGGTCAGGAGTTCAAGACCAGCCTGGCCAATGTGGTGAAACCCAGTCTCTACTAAAAGTACAAGAATTAGCTGGGCATGGTGGCCCACATTGTAGTCCCAGCTACTCAGGAGGCTGAGGCAGGAGAATCACTTGAACCCAGGAGGCAGAGATTGTGGTGAGCTGAGATCACGCCACTGTTTTCCAGCCTGGGCAATAGATTGAGACTGTCTCAAAAAAAAAAAAGGGCCCTGGGACTTCATGGGGGGGTTGGCTGAAACTGTCAGTGGGCGGTGCACCTGTGGGTTACCCAGGCCCATGTAGCTGGGATTACAGATGCCTGCCACCATGCCTAGCTAATTTTTTGTATTTTTAGTAGAGACAGGGTTTCACCATGCTGGTCAGGCTGGTCTCCAACTCCTAATCTCAAGTGATCCTCCTGCCTTGGCCTCCCAAAGTTCTGGGATTATAGGCGAGAGCCACCACACCCAGCTGCTGGTGTGTTCTTAAACAGTGTGTTTGTTTACTGCTGGTTTAGACCACAGAAGTGTATTGTCTCACATTCCTATAGGCTGGAAGTCCAGGATCAAGGTGTCAGCATGGTTGGTTTCTTCTGAGGCCCCTTGGCTTGTGGTCAGCCATCTGCTCCTTGTGTCCGCTTCACCTGGCCATTCCTCTGTGTGTATCTCTGTGCTAATGTCCTCCTATTAGAAGGATGCCGGTCAGATTGGATTAAGGCCCACCCATGACCTCATTTCACCATAATCATCTCTTTTTTTTTTGAAACAGGGTCTCACTCTGTCACTCAGGCTGGGTGCAGTAGCACAATCTCAACTCACTGCACCCTCCACCTCCCAAGTTCAAGTGATTCTCCTGCCTTAGCCTCTCATATAGCTGAGATTACACATACCCACCACTACATACGGCTAACTTGTGTATTTTTAGTAGAGATGGGGTTTCACCATGCTGGCCAGGCTGGTCTCAAACTCTTGACCTCAGATGATCCACCCACCTCAGCCTCCCAAAGTGCTGGGATTATAGGTGTGAGCCACCACGCCCAAACCTTATTTACCTCTTTAAATAAGGCCTCATCTCCAAAGACAGTCACATGCTGAGGTACTGGGGGTCAGGGCCTCGTATGAATCTGTGGGGAACGCAGTGCAGTTAAAATGTGTGTTTTGCTGGTCTATGAAAGCACTGTCTCTTGAAGGATGTGTGACAGACTAGAAATACCCTTGGCTCCGGGTGGCCTGAGGCACAAGACAGAGATGGGTTTATTTGTTGTTACATACTACATACTGTTACAGTAATCTTTTGAGAGCTTTGTTGTGTGTATATGTAGTGCTGATTGCTTTTTTTTTTTGAGACTGAGTCTCGCTCTGTCACTAGGTTGGAGTGTAGAGGCATGATCTCTGCAACCTCTACCTCCTAGGTTCAAGCGATTCTCCTGCCTCAGCCTCCTGAGTAACTGGGATTACAGGTGCCCGCCACAACACCCAGCTAATTTTCGTATTTTTAGTAGAGATGTTGGCCAGGGTAGTCTCGATCTCTTGACCTTGTGATCCGCCCGCCTCAGCCTCCCAAAGTGCTGGGGTTACAGGCGTAAAACACGGCACCTGGCCTGCTGATTACTTTAGAAAAAATTTTTAAGCTGATGAAATTGACATATTATCTGGATGCTGAGGGGCAAGATGGCTCACGCCTGTAATCTCAGCACTTTGGGAGTCTGAGGTGAGAGGATCATTTGAGCCCAGGAGTTCAAGACCAGCCTGGGAAACATAGTGAGACCCCTTCTCTACAAAAAAATACAAAAATTAGCTGGGCATGGCGGCACACGCCTGTAATTCCAGCAACTAAGGAGGCTGAGGTGGGAGGTTCACTTGAGCCCAGGTGGTCAAGGCTGCAGTGATCCGTGATTGCACCACTGCACTCCAGCCTGGGTGACAGAGCAAGACCTGGCCTCCAAAAAAGTTAAAAAAAAGAAAAAAAGGATTCTAGAATTTTATTGCAATAATGTCTTTTTTTCCCCAGAGGGCAAAATATATCTGCTTTGAATTGTTTGAAAAGAAACAAGGAGCATGACCTCACCCCCCACCCTTAGTTCCCCTCACCAGGCCCATGACCTCGCTGCTGTTTGGGTGCGGTGGGATAAAGGGGGACCTCCTCAATGCCCTCTACCCATGCAGGACTCGAAGCCACCCGTCATCTCGTTACAAAAGCTCATCGTGAGGGAGGTGGCCAATGAGGAGAAAGCGATGTTTCTGATCAGCGCCTCCTTGCAAGGGCCGGAGATGTATGAAATCTACACGAGCTCCAAAGAGGACAGGAATGCCTGGATGGCCCACATCCGAAGGGCCGTGGAGAGGTGAGGAGGGCCTGGAGGGTCTCCCCACCTTGCGTTCCTTCCGTTGACCAGTCTACCCTTAGCTTCGACGGTTGGCCCATCGGGTATGATCTTGAACTCCCTCATCCCAGCTTGGGCCCCATGATGCCATTTCAGCTCCTTCTGATGACTCGATGACTCAACCTGTTGGATGACTCAACCTGTTGGATGCCCGGAAAGGCAGCTCTAACCTGGGCCTTTCTGCTCTTGTGGGCCATTGGCAGGCCCACATGACATGGTGGTCTGTCTGCATTCATGGGCCAAACTTATTGGAGCAGGTCACAGCATCTTGTCCTTCCTCCTTGGGCCCAGCACCCCTCAGGGCCCAGGACCAGCTGGCTTCCCGTCGTTTTTTTGTTGTTGTTTTGTTTGGTTTGGTTTGGTTTTTTGTTTTTTTTGAGACAGAGTTTAGCTCTTGTTACCCAGACTGGAGTGCAATGGCATGATCTCGGCTCACCGCAACCTCTGCCTCCTGGGTTCAAGCAATTCTCCTGCCTCAGCCTCCCGAGTAGCTGGGACTGCAGGCGCGCACCACCATGCCCAGCTAATTTTTGTATTTTTAGTAGAGACGGGGTTTCACCTCGTTGACCAGGATGGTCTTGATCTCTTGACCTTGTGATCCACCCTCCTCAGCCTCACAAAGTGCTGGGATTATAGGCGTGAGCCACCACGCCCGGCCTGTTTTTTTGAGACAGAGCCTTGCTCTGTCACCCAGGCTGGAGTGCAGTGGCACAATCTTGGCTCACTGCAGCCTCCGCCTCCCAGGTTAAAGCAGTTCTCCTGCCTCAGCCTCCTGAGTAGCTGGGATTACAGGCGTGAACCACTGCACCCAGCTTTTTTTTTTTTTTTTTTAGAGTCAGGCTCTTGCTCTGTCACCCAGGCTGGGGTGCACTGGCACAACCATAACTTACTGCAACCCCAAACTCCTGGGCTCAAGTGAACCTACCCCCTCAGTCTCCCAAGTAGCTGGAACTACAGGCACCACCACACCCAGCTAATTTTTTTATTTTTGGAGATGGGGCCTCCCTCTGTTGTTCAGGCTGGTCTTGAACTCCTGGCCTTAAGCCATCCTCCTGCCTTGGCCTCCCAAAGTGTTGTGATTATAGGCATGAGCCACCATGCCTGGCCGGAACTCCCTATCTTGATGCCTGGAGGCTTCCTGGTGCTGTAGGCTGGTTCAGACCACCCCCCCACCCCATCCACAGTAGCTGTAGCTCTGTGGGGCTTGCAGCCTTCCACCTACACCTTGCAGGTCCCCTGCAAGCATGTTGTCCCCAGGACTCTTCCTCTAAGTCACAGGAAGGCAGGTAAAACTTCTTCCTGGTTATGCCCTGGTGCTTTGGGGCCAGACAAATGCCAATGGCTCTTTTTCTTCCCCTCATCATCCTCCTGCACCATGAACAAGCTAAATCAGGGCTGGGAGCAGTGGCTCACACCTGTAATCCCAGAACTTTGGGAGGCTGAGGCGGGTGGATCAGGAGGTCAGGAGTTCAAGACCAGCCTGACCAAGGTAAGGGAACTCCGTCTCTACTAAAAATACAAAAAATTAGCCAGGTGTGGTGGCATGCACCTGTGATCTCAGCTACTCGGGAGGCTGAGGCAGAGAATTGCTTAAACCCAGGAGGCAGAGGTTACAGTGATCCAAGATTGTGCCACTGCACTCCAGCCTGGGCAACAGAGTGAGGAAAAAAAAAAGCGAAATTACTCCCCAAGTCAGAGACGGTCATAGCAGCTGGTTGTACAGAACCAGCATCTGTGCCGGAGGCCGGCCTGGCTGGGAAGCACAGTTACCCACCCGTCCCCTCTCCCTGCAGCTGCCCTGACGAGGAAGAGGGGCCCTTCAGCCTGGCGGAAGAGGAAAGGAAGGTGGTTGAGGCCCGAGCCGCAAGACTCCGGGACTTTCAAGGTGAGGGGGAGACAGCGCTGTGGGCACAACCCTTGTGTGGTGAGCGCTGGGTCCCCCATCGGGACTGGCCATGGAGGGCAAACTGCACCCCAAGTGACCCGTAGAAAACCCCCTACATGACCTGGTGTTTTCCCTTGGGCTGTGCTGTGTCCTGCAGCTCTGTGAAGCATTAGAACGGTGTTGTGCCATGACATAGTGATTTCCACAGGTCACTTAGCCCTTTGTGGGTATGAGGAAAAGGGACAGAGTAGAGTTTAGGGGCCCTGATCCCCTTCCAGAGCTGACCATGCAGCCACACATGCCGTCACCAGCCCATCCTCATGCAGGCAGGAGCTTGACAGGGTGTCCCAGTCCCATATGAAGGAATAGCTCAGGGGTCCCACAACCTCCTTCCAGAGCTTCCTCCTCCCTGTTAGTTTAATTATGTTATTGAGATGTAATTCACACACCACGCCACACACTCTCTCATGCGTTTGGTTCGGTGGCATTTAGTGCATTTCCAGTTGTGCGGCCAGAACCACATTCACTTTAGAACATTCCACCTCCCTAGAAAAGAAGCCCCATCCCCCTTACCAGTCACTTCTCATCCCCTACCCCAACCCCAACAACAGGAATCTCCTTCCTGTCTCTGTGGATTGGCCCATCCTGGACACTCCATGTAAATGGAGTCACACACTGCATGGCCTTTTGTGTCTGGCTTCTCTCACTGAGTGTGGTGTTCTTGAGGTTCATCCACGTTCAGTGAGCATGTGTCATGAACAATTCCTGGACCCTGTGGCCTGCAGCAAGTTCCCTTCTTCCCTTTCACTGTCTGTATTATTCATTTTTAAATTGGGTAATACTAAAACAATAAGTGGCCTGGCACAGTGACTCATACCTATAATCCCAGCACTTTGGGAGGTGGAGGCAGATGGATCACTTAAAGCCAGGAGTTCGAGACCAGCCTGGGCAACAGAGCGAGACCCTGCCTCTGAACAAAAGAAGAAATAGAAAGATAATGGTCTTTACCAAGATACTCTTTACCATCTCAAAACCTTATCAAAAGCTGATGGCATCCTACCCTAGGGACACTCCTGTTAAAATCTGGAGAAGGGTCAGGCCACCCACTCTCACCCTTATTATTTTCATCCTAAAGGTTCTAGTTAGGGTGATAAGGAAAGAAACAGGAATAAGATATTATTGGAGGCCGGGCACAGTGGCTCACGCCTGTAATCCCAGCACTTTGGGAGGCCGAGGTGGGCAGATCGCCTGAGGCCAGGAGTTCCAGACCAACCTGACCAATGTGGCAAAACCCGGTCTCTACTGAAATACAAAAAAAATTAGCTGGGCATAGTGGCAGATGCCTGTAATCCCAGCTGCTCGGGAGGCTGAGGCAGGAGAATCGCTTGAACCTGGAGGCAGAGGTTGCAGTGAGCTGAGATTGCGCCACTGCACTCCAGCCTGGGCAACAAGAGTGAAACTCTGTCTCAAAAAATAAAAAAACAAGATATTATTGGAAGGGAGTAGTAAAGTTATTTTCACATATGTCATGATTTTTTTGCCTGGAAATCCCGGTAGTATCAACTGAAAAACTACTGACCTGGTAGGAGCATTGAACAATTTAGCTGAATGTGGTTCATATATACTAGCAATCACCAGTAGGAAGGTCTAATAAAATAAGTCCCTTTGTAAGTCCAACAGGGGGAAAAAAAAAAGGATAAAACCCCAGAGGCTTATCAGAGGAGTTCGGTGGAGAAAACCTTGACCCATGGACCTGAAGAAAAACTTTCCTAATTAGAAAACTCAGTCTTTGCCAGGCAGGCTCATGCTTGTAATCCCAGCATTTGGGCGGGCTGAGGCAGGTAGATGGCTTGAGTCCAGGAGTTCAAGACCAGCCTGGGCAATGTGGCAAAACCCCGCCTCTACAAAAAAAAAAATGAAAAGAATTAATCAGGCACGGTAGCACATGCCTATGGTCCCAGCTACTCGAGAGGCTGAGGTGGGAGGATCCCTTGAGCCTGGGAGATCAAGGCCACCGCCTGCTTCATCTCCCAGGCATGCACCACCACACCTGGCTGTTTTTAGATTTCTTTATAGGCACAGAGTCTCATATTGTTGCCCAGGCTGGTCTCCAACTCCTGGCCTCAAGCTGTCCTCCTACCTTCGCCTTCTAAAGTGCTGAGATTGTAGGCCTGAACCACCACACCTGATTTTTACAATGCTATCTCAGAAAAGAAAGAAAACTCAGTTTTCTAAGGCTCCAAGTTGGTCCCAGACTAATAAATGGGCCTGATGCAATCGTCACTCACACCCTACTATGGGTTTTTTTTTTTTTTTTTATTTTTGAGACAGAGTTTTGCTCTTGTTGCCCAGGCTGGAGTGCAGTGGCACAATCTTGGCTCACCACCACAACCTCCGCCTCCTGGGTTCAAGCAATTCTCCTGCCTCAGCCTCCTGACTAGCTGGGATTCCAGGCATGTCCCACCATGCCCGGCTAATTTTGTATTTTCAGTAAAGACAGGGTTTCTCCATGTTGGTCAGGCTGATCTTGAACTCCCAACCTCAGGTGATCTGCCCACCTTGGCCTCCCACAGTGCTGGGATTATAGGCGTGAGCCACTGCACCTGGCCTATTTTATTTTTTTTTTAAGAGACAGGGTCTTGCTGTGTTGCCCAGGCTGGAGTACAGTGGTGCAATCATAGCTCACTGCAGCCTTGAACTCCTAGGCTCAAGCAATCCACCTGCCTCACCTTCCAGGCATGCACCAGCACACCCAGCTAATTTTTTTTTTTTATTTCTTTGTAGAGACAGTCTTATGATATTGCCCAGGCTGGTCTTGAACTCCTGCCCACATGCAGCCCTCCTACCTTTGCCTCTTTAAATGCTGGGATTACAGGCCTGAGCCACCAGAGCTAACCTGATTTTTATAACAAGGGGGAAAATAGAGGACAAGGCCTTGCTCTCCCCCATCTCCCAGGAATGCAGGACATAGGGCAGCCTACCTCGGGGCAGGGCCAGCAGGGGTCCTCATCCCCGGGGCAGGGCCAGCAGGGGGCTTCATCCCCCGACACTGGGCTGTCACGTCACCTCCACTGTCACTTTGCAGAGCGGCTGAGCATGAAAGACCAGTTGATTGCACAGAGCCTGCTAGAGAAGCAGCAGATCTACCTGGAGATGGCCGAAATGAGCGGCCTGGAAGACCTGCCCCAGCCCCGAGGCCTGTTCCGAGGAGGGGACCCATCCGAGACCCTGCAGGGGGAGCTAATTCTCAAGTCGGTCATGAGCGAGAGTAAGTTGGCTGCCCCCACCTCAAGGGTGCAGTCCTACCTGGGTGGGCTCCTCAGGGGACCCCAGGCCAGGCTTCTGTCCAGGACAGGGTTCTATCTGGGGGGGCCCAGGAGTGGTGCTGACCCCCCGCTGGTACCTGCTAGAGCCAGAAGGGCCTTAGATACAAGGCACTTTCTCACCATTCAACAACTGCTCTAATGCTCCCTGTGTGCAGAGGTTCTAAGTCTGGCTGTGGGGAGGACCTGAAGTTGACTGAGCCTGGTTCCCTACCCACCAGAGGCTCCTCTTCTTCCTGGGAGGTGGGTCCCTGGTGATACCCCAGAAAAACTCACCCATGCTCCCTCAGTGGGTCCCCATGCACAGCTCCAGCACAGCCGCCAGGCCCTTGGGCTGGCAACTTGGGCAGGCGGTCAGTACCCAGTCTGCTTTTTTTTTTTTTTTTGAGATGGAGTCTTGCTCTGTCACCCAAGCTAAAGTGCAATGGCATGATCTCAGCTCACTACAACCTCCGCCTCCAGGGTTCAAGCAATTCTCCTGCCTCAGCGTCCCCAGTAGCTGGGATTACAGGCATGCTCTACCACACCTGGCTAGTTTTGTATTTTTACTAGAGATGGGGTTTCTCCATGTTGTTCAAGCTGGTCTTGAACTCCCGACCTCTGGTGATCCACCCGCCCTGGCCTCCCAAAGTGCTGGAATTACAGATGTGAGCTACCACACCAAGCTTTTTTTCCTTTTTTTTTTGGAGATGGAGTCTCGCTCTATCACCCAAGCTGGAGTGCAGTGGCGCAATCTCAGCTCACTGCAGTCTCTGCCTTCTGAGCTCCAGAATCTCATGCTTCAGCCTCCCAAGTAGCTGGGATCACAGGCATGCACAACCATGCCTGGCTCATTTTTGTATTTTTAGTAGAGACAGTTTTTGCCGTGTTGGCCAGGCTGGTCTCGAACTCCTGAACTCAAGTGATCCGCCTGCCTTGGGCTTCCCCAAATGCTGGGATTACGGGCGTGAGCCACCACGCCTGGTGGCCCCAGTCTGCTTTTTCAACAGTGAGGGAAGCAGACACAGCCCCTGCCTTCCAGAGCCTTTCCACAGAATAAGGCAGAGACTGGGGGTCAGCCCTTCTCCCTCCATCCTTCCACCTGGCTCCAACAGCTGTTGTTCATGTCCCCACCTCTTTGTAGGGCCACAGCCTATTGGTCCTAGAGGGCTTTCTGTGGACAGCGCTTCCCCACAAAGTCACTCTTCCAAATGGCCATTGTCATACAATCAGTGTATGGTCATTGTCATGTAATACACCAAGTGTTTCCTGCTGGCCCTTGGCAGGGCCACATCCAGCGTTCACCAGCCCCTGGCTCAGGGCCGCCTGGCAGAAGGGGTGGGAGGAGCCTGTATCTACCCTCCCCATGGCTGCCCCACGGCCTTGTCCTCTCACTTAGACGCAGATTGGCCTGTCCTGGTGTCCGTATCTGAAGTAAGGGTGTGCACAGGGATGGTGGGGCTGAAATGCCATGGCAGACAGTGGGGGCAGGCGATCACCACTCCAGTGAGTCCTCCATCTCCCTGGTCTCACTGCCTCAGCACTCCGTACTCCCCGGCACACTTCCACAGGGTGACCTGTGCCTCCTGTCCCCTTCTTTCCATAGTCGAGGGCATCCAGAACCTGATCTGCAGGCGGCTAGGCAGCGCCAACGGCCAGGCGGAAGACGGGGGCAATTCCACAGGCCTGCCCAGGAGGGCCGAGACCTTCGGGGGCTACGACTTCACAAATAGCCCCAGCAAGAGTAAGAGCAGGGCCGCCTCCCCTCCCACCCCAGAGTGCCCTTCAGAATGCACATTCACTTATATGGGGTTTCTTGGAACCTTCTTTTTTTTTTTTTGAGAGAGTCACTCTGTCACCCAGGCTGGAATGCAATGGCATGATCTGATCTCTGCTCTCTGTAACCTCCACCTCCTGAGTTCAAGCTATTCTCCTGCCTCAGCTTCCCAAGTAGTTGGGATTACAAGCACACGCCACCATGCCCAGCTAATTTTTGTATTTTTAGTAGAGATGGGGTTTCGCCACATTGGCCAGGCTGGTCTCGAACTCCTGACCTCAGGTGATCTGCCCACCCCGGCCTCCCAAAGTGCTGGGATTGCAGGCGTGAGCCCCTCTGCCCAGCCGGTTTCCTGGAACCTTCTGAACCCCTCCAGGCATTGTTGGTTGTGTGGTGACAGCAGTACCCAGAGCAGCCCACCCCTCTCCAGCAGGTGTCTGTGCTGCAGATGTCACCATTTGGGGACCAGCCTGGGTTTCCTACCTGGGTAGGGGCTCGGGGTGGACTGGGAAGGTTCCCTCTCCCGATGGGATGGCAGCATCCTCACGTCCCTGACTTGGGGTTCTCAGATGGCAGTTTCAAGAAGAAAGTCGGCAGCACCGAACCCAGGCCCCGAGACTGGCAAGGCCCCCCAAACAGCCCGGACTTGAAGCTTGGTGACAGTGACATTCCTGTGAGCTCTGAGGAATCACCACAGGCGGTATGTGGATATCGTGTGCTCGGCACGGTCTGAGTCACCATAAGGATTCATGCATGCGAGCAGCTTCTGCTGGGGCTGTCTAGTCTCCGTCTTACCATCATTGACAATCGCTGTTCCATTTCAATAATAATATCTCAGCCCAGATTAAGTAGCTGGCAGGGGATTTCTTCCTGCGGCCTTCTGGGAAAAGCAAGAGGTCCCCAGAAGGAAGGCTGAGGAGGGGACAGGCTCAGGGCACTCACCGTGGCTTCATCAACAGGCGAGGAACCCCCTACAGGGACCACCAGCTTTCAGCTGGGGCAGGTGTGGTGGCGCCTACAGATGCCAGATCTCCCCAGCTGTTCCCTTCCCATTGAATGAAATGGCCAGATGCCTACTCAACCTTGCCCGTGTTAGAGGTACGAGGCCAAGGCCAGCTGCCTCTGGTCAGCTCTGAGGCTTGGACTTGCCTCTGTGGCCAGATCTGGCAGGCACCCAGGCTTTATAGCCAAGCCCACTCTGCCTCCCAGGCAGCCCAGCCCCTCATTTTCCAAATACCCAGATTTGTACAAGTCAGATGACCACTGGGCCTGTGTCCCTAGTCATAACCTGGTCCTGGGTCCTTCCTGTTACCCATACAAAGGGATGTATTTTCATTAATAAGCAGGGGCTGGGTGCAGTGCCTCACACCCATAATCCCAGTGGTCTGGGAGATAAGGTCTCTCTCTATCACCCAGGCTGGAGGGCAGTGGTATGATCACAGCTGACGCAGCCTCTAACTCCTAGGCTCAAGCAATCCTCCCACCTCAGCCTCCCAAGTAGCTGGGACTACAGGTGCACACCCCCATACCTGGCTAATTTTTTAAATTTTTGTAAATAACGGGGTCTTACTATGTTGCCCAGGCTGGTTTCCAACTCCTGGACTCAAGCAATCCTCCTGCCTTGGCCTCCCAAAGAGATGAGATTACAGGCAAGGTCGCCATGCCTGGGCCTGGGAGGATCACTTGAGGCCAGGTGTTTGAGACCAGCCTGGGCAAACCACATTTCAACAAAATATTTTAAAACAGCTGATCCTTTGGCTGGGTGTGGTGGCTCATGCCTGTAATCCCAGCACTTCAGGAGGCCAATTTAGGGGGATCACTTGAGTCCAGGGGTTCAGGACCAGCCTGGCTAACATGTTGAAATCCTGTCTCTGCTAAAAATATAAAAGTTAGCTGGGTGTGGTGGTAGACGCCTGTAATCCCAGCTACTCAGGAGGCTGAAGTGGGAGGATCACTTGAACCCAGGAGGTGGAAGTTGCAGTGAGCTGAGATTTCGCCACTGCACTCCATCCTGGGCAAGAGAGCGAGACTTCGTTTCAAAAAAAAACTAAAATTAAAATAAAAATGGCTGCCGATCTGTGCTTCTGAAATGACCTTGGTGGAAAAAAATTTTTTTTTTTTTTGAGATGGAGTTTCACTCTTGTTACCCAGGCTGGAGTGCAATGGCGCAATCTCGGCTCACCGCAACCTCCACCTCCTGGGTTCAGGCAATTCTCCTGCCTCAGCCTCCTGAGTGGCTGGGATTACAGGCACACGCCACGATGCCCAGCTAATTTTTTTGTATTTTTAGTAGAGACGGGGTTTCATCATGTTGATCAGGATGGTCCCAATCTCTTGACCTCGTGATCCACCCGCCTCGGCCTCCCAAAGTGCTGGGATTACAGGCGTGAGCCACCTCGCCCAGCCAAAAATTTTTTTTTTTGAGACGGAGTTTTGCTGTTGTTACCCAGACTGGAGTGCAATGGCACGATCTCTGCTCACAGCAACCTCCACCTTCTGGATTCAAGCAATTCTCCTGCCTCAGCCTCCCGAGTAGCTGCGACTACAGGCACGCACCACCATGCCCAGCTAATTTTTGTATTTTTAGTAGACACGGGGTTTCACTTTGTTGACCAGGATGGTCTCGATCTCTTGACCTCGTGATCCACCCACCTCGGCCTCCCAAAGTGCTGGGATTATAGGCATGAGCCACCGCACCCGCTGGAAAAAAAAATTTTAAACATGGCTACCGGGCACGGTGGCTCATGCCTGTAATCCCAGCACTTTGGGAGGCCGAGGCAGGTGATCACCTGAGTTCAGGAGTTCCAGACCAGCCTGACCAACTTGGTGAAACCCCATCTCTGCTAAAAATACAAAATTAGGCAGGCATGGTGGTGTAAAACTAATTGGGAGGCTGAGGCAGGAGAATCACTTGAACCAGGGAGGTGGAGGTGGCAGTGAGCCGAGATCTTGCCATTGCCATTGCACTCCAACCTGGGCAACCAGTCTTTATTTTTATTTTTCCAATTTTTTTTCCCAACCTGCAACTGTCTTGATCGAGTTATAACAACCAGTCTTTAAAAAAATGATAATAATAAATTAAATTAAAATAGCTGATCCTAGTGGTGCACACCTGTAGTCCCAGCTACTCGGGTGGCCGAGGTGGAAGGATGGGGCCACTACACTCTAAAGCAAGACCCTGTCTCAAAAAATAAGGAAAGAAAAGAAGCAGCAGCAGGCTTGGGTCTGGTCGGGTGGGTTTTGAGCCGCTCTCTGTGGTGTGACGGCGGGTGTCCTCTTCCCAGGTGGAGGCACCAGGCACGGAGTCTGACCCCGGTCTGCCCACCGTCCTGGAGTCAGAGGTAGGCGCCCACTGTCCATCCTACCGGTGCCATGTGCACGCCTGTGTGGCCTCAGGCCCGAGAACTAGTGTCAATCTCCCTCTCCTCCCCGCAGCTCGTCCAGCGGATCCAGACGCTGTCCCAGCTGCTCCTGAACCTGCAGGTACGGGGGCAGGGTGGGGCCGGCCACACGTACCCTTTCCGGGTAGGCTGGGACGCGGGTGCGGCTCTCACCTGCCTGGCCCTGGCCTTCCACAGGCGGTCATCGCCCACCAGGACAGCTATGTGGAGACGCAGCGGGCAGCCATCCAGGAGCGCGAGAAGCAGTTCCGGCTGCAGTCGACGCGCGGGAACCTGCTGCTGGAACAGGAGCGGCAGCGCAACTTCGAGAAGCAGCGGGAGGAGCGCGCGGCCGTGGAGAAGCTGCAGAACCAACTGCGGCAGGAGCAGCAGCGCTGGGAGCGTGAGCGCGAGAGGCAGCGGCAGGAGCTGGAGCGCGCAGGCGCAAGGCTGCAGGAGCGCGAGGGCGAGGCGCGGCAACTGCGCCAGCGGCTGGAGCAGGAGCGCGCCGAGCTGGAGCGCCAACGCCAGGCCTACCAGCACGACCTGGAGCGGCTGCGTGAGGCCCAGCGCGCCGTGGAGCGCGAGCGGGAACGCCTGGAGCTGCTGCGCCGCCTCAAGAAGCAGAACACTGCGCCAGGCGCGCTGCCACCTGATGCACTGGCCGAGGTGAGCGCGCAGCAGCCCGTGTGCACAGGTGGGGGGGTGTGGGGGGGGTGGCCATTTTGCACGTGCATTTGCACAAGCACGTATGTGATGGGGTACGTGGGTGCGTGCATGAGTGTAAATGAGCTAAAGCATGAGATAGCCTTACGTTCACAGCACATGCCGCAACATAGAACCTTTCTTAGAGCTCGTTAAATGCTTAACAGAACGCTGTTGCTCAAAACGTTCCATAAATGTTAAAAACTTAAAAAAAATGCACTCCTGTAATCCCAGCACTTTGGTGCAAGCAAGAGTTCCAGACCAGCCTGGGCAACACGGCGAAACTCCGTCTCTGTAAAAACAGTAACAATAATGAGCTAGGCGTGGTGGTGAGTGCCTGTAGTCCTTGCTACTTGGAATGCTAAGGTGAGAGCATCAGTAGAGCCCGGGAGGTTGAGGCTGCCATGAGCCGTGATTACGCCACTGCACTCCAGCCTGGGCAACAGAGTGACACTCTGTCTCAAAAAAAAAATAATAATGGGCCGGCGTGGTGGCTCATGCCTATAATCCCAGTACTTTGGGAAGCTGAAACGGACAGATCACCTGAGGTTGGGAGTTCAAGACTGACCTGACCAACATGGAGAAACCCCATCTCTACAAAAAATTAGCCGGGCATGGTGGTGCATTCCTGTAATCCCAGCTACTCGAGAGACCGAGGCAGGAGAATTGCTTGAACCTGGGAAGCGGAGGTTGTGGTGAGCCAAGATTGCCCCATTGCACTCCAGCCTGGGCAACAAGAGCGAAACTCTATCTCAAAACAAAAAAAAAATGAAGCTGGGTGCTGTGGTGTGCACCCCAGCTACTTGGGAGGCTGAGGCCAGAGGATTGCTTGAGACCAGGAATTTGAGACCAACCTGGGCAACATAGTGAGAACTCGTCTCTAAAAAAAATTACAAAAATTAGCAGGGTGTAGTGGCACATGCCTTTAGTCCCAGCTACATGGGAGGCTGAGGCAGGAGGATCATTTGAGCCTAAGAGGCTCAAAAGCTATGATTGTGCCACTGCACTCTAGCCTGGGTGACAGAGCAAGACTGTGTCTGAGAAAACAAATTTATAAAACCCTGGATTGTGTGAACAGATGTGAACATGAATGTGTGTGACATGTTTGTATATGAGTGTCTGACAGTTTGGGTGCCACTGACTGTCACCACAGGTATGCATATTTAGCAGGCATTGGGGACAGGCAATGACTAGCAGCTCCTTCAAGCTGCTCCTAGCTCTGTCCCGAACAGGAGAGGTTGAGGGTCTCCTGTGCACGACCCTCAGGGGCTCTCCAGAGGCCGCACAGCAGGAACCTTGAATTGTAGTGTATCTGCTGTTGTCCCCCCAGGCCCAGCCCCCCAGCCACCCTCCCAGCTTCAACGGGGAAGGGCTGGAGGGGCCTCGGGTGAGCGTGCTGCTGTCCAGCGCTGGGCCAGAGTACACAGAGCGCCCTGAGGTGGCTCGCCGGGACAGTGCCCCTGCTGAGAGCCGGCAGGCCAAGAGCGACGTACCCATCCAGCTGCTTAGCGCCACCAACCAGTTCCAGAGGCAGGCGGCTGTGCAGCAGCAGATCCCCACCAAGCTGGCGGCCTCCACCAAGGGTGGCAAGGACAAGGGCAGCAAGAGCAGGGGCTCCCAGCGCTGGGAAAGCTCAGGTGAGCTGGCCCCGCCCCCTCCACCTGGCCCTGGAAGGTGCAGCCGTGGGCAACCGGTCAGGCTCTAGGGGCTCGCTGGGAGCCAGGAGGCATGGGACACCTGTGCCGCCCTCCAGAGAGGAAACCCAGAAGGGCACAGCTGGCATTGTGGCTGAGGCCACCCACACGGGGCCATGTTTGGTCTCCAGCCCCAAAACTGAGATGGCCCACCCTCAGTCTTTTCCCCACCTCAACCCTCAAACAGTGGGATGGGGACCAGGAGCCTCAGAAAAGGACACAGGCAACAAGGCAGAGAGCCCTGGCCACCTGGGATAAGCACAGCTGGGACTGGGACGGGTGCAGGCCCCTCTGCTGAAGGTCCCTGTTCCACAGGGGGGACATAGAGCCCAGAGCAGCCCCAGTGTTTCCAGGGAGGGCGCCCAGGGGCTCCTCTGGTCCAGGAGCCAGCCCTGCTCCTCTGGGGGACAACCAGGATATCCTGGGACCTTTCCTGAAGAGCGGGGGCTGTGTCCCGTGGCCGCTGGGGCCTGTGCTGTTTCCGTAGGAGGCTCAGCCTCCTCTCCAGTTGTGGGGTGACTCCCAGGCCCTTCTGCAGCAAGGGTAGAGCTGTTCTCCCTGAATCCGGGGCTTAGCATCTGAGCAGCTCAGGTTACAGGATCCAGGCTGCTGTAGGAAGTGTCAGCTGGGGTGGCAGGGCCCTCTGCTCTCAGAGGCTGCCCTGTGGGGTAGGGGCGGCTGGCCAGCCTGGAGCCAACCCAAGCGCCTTCCCTCTTCCAGCATCCTTCGACCTGAAGCAGCAGCTGCTGCTCAACAAGCTCATGGGGAAGGATGAGAGCACCTCCCGGAACCGCCGCTCACTAAGCCCCATCCTGCCTGGCAGCCACAGCCCTGCGCCCCTGCCAGGTGAGTTCCCACCCGTCATGAGCCCAGGCCCAGGGCAGCCGGGCCGCTGGCACCACCCAGAGGCTGCTCACAGTCTGGACCCCCTCTCTGTTCCAGACCCTGGCTTCCCCGCCCCGAGCCCACCACCAGCCGACAGCCTCTCTGAGGGCTTCTCTCTCAAGGCCGGGGGCATAGTCCTCCCACCTGGGCCCCCAGCTCCCTCGACACTGCCAGCCACACCACTCAGCGCCAAGGAGGATACCAGCAAGGAAGATGTCATCTTTTTCTAAAAGGGCCGTGACTCAAGGTGCAAGGCCCCTCCCTGCCCTGCCCACCCTTCCCGCTCTCTGGGGACCCCTGTGGGGTCACCATGCCCACCGAGCTGTCCCCTTCTCTTCCTGAGCAAACGGTGATGACCGCCCGGCCGGGCCCGTCCTGGTGGTGCTCCAGGCCTCGAGGTTCCTTCTATAGGATTAGTGGTGGTGCCTGGGTCACTTTCTGAACCTCTTCTCTTTTTTTTTTTCAAAGAGGAAAGTTTTAATGGAAAGTTGAGCCAGAACTAATCCAGGGATCTGTCTGAAATCACAGAGCACCCCAACCAGGTGGCGCGGAGATCACCTCCAAGCTGTTTTTCCGAGGCAGTGAGGAGCGGTGCCAGCTCTGCACGGAGCCAGGGACAGGGCCAACCTCGCTCTGAGAAGGAGCTGCTGGCTGGGCCCACGCTCCACGGCCATGTGCGACATGGAGCCAGGGATTAGGGCGCCAGGAGGGGCTGCTGGCATCAGCAGCATCTGTCCCCAGAATCAGGCAGAATCCATGTCCCAAGCAGAGACCCATGCAGGTTCACCGTGAACCTCAGGGCCAGAGAATGAGCCAGGCACGGGGACAGGGGCAGAGAGGGCCACAGGCAGGGCCCACTGAGGGGACACCAGTGGCACTCCGGGCAGCTTCTGTGGGTTCGGATGCCCATTGCGAAAGGGGCTGACCTTTGCTCCTTTTTATTTGGCACCAGCTTTGAAACTAGCTGGTTCCCAAAATCTACTTTGCCAGGGCACCCATCGTCATTCACACACTCAGCCTGTCTCGGGGGCAGGCCTCTAGCTTCAGCCAGAGTGGGTACACACTTCCAGGGCAGGGTCCTCAGCCCTCAGGAAACGAGCTCCCAGGGCTGGGGTCCCACCTTTCGGGCGGTGGCTGGCACATCACAGACTGTCTAGAGCGCCGCGCTCTGGGACATGGGAGGAAGTGCCTAGAGATGTTATGGCAAGCGGACAAGTGGCCGCCATGTGGGCCCCTCGCTTGCATGAGCTGCTGCAGCCCCTGGTCCACCACCCCGGAGGAGTGCAGGAAGGAGGTGCTGGGCAGTGTCGAAGGTGCTGGGATGTCCCGAGGTGGTCAGATCCACCCATGATCTGGCTTCGGTGGACGAGGGGCACATTTCAAGCCTTGTTCTGCACCCCAGGGTTCCCCACAGCACCTCCTGAAGCATCGGTGGCAGGACTGGGTCCTGGCTGGTCGTCCTTGTTCCCAATGGGGCATGCATGCCCCCCGCCCCCCAAGGACCAAGTCCTTCTCCCAAACCCAGGGTCCCGGGAACCGCAGATCCAGGGGATTCGGCTCTCCTCCCACCGCACTGGCAGGGCCACTCCTGTGATGCTGAATACAGTGAATGGGGACATTGTCGCCACTCGGGGACAGATGGGCACAGGGGAGGGGAAGCTCCTTCAGGAACTACTCCCCTGGGCAGAGGCACCCACTGGGTGCTGTGGGCTCCGAAGGGGACAGGGCAGGAGCTGATGCCGAACAGGAACCAGAGCCACACAGCCCATCAGTAACAAAGTCCTGAGAACAGAGTGAGTGGCTGGGCATCCCCAGGCTCCCGGTCCCTCGGAGGACCTCGGCTCCACTCAGCCTGGTCCTTTGCCGTCAGCAACGCTCTCCACCCTGTGACCCGAGCGTCCCCCCCTCCCCCGTCAGATTCCCTCTGTGCCATGTTTTAATCAGTGTTTTGTATTTTCGTACTGAGTACCGGAGCACTTTACAAAAGCTGACTGTATGTTCCTGTTCTGTTGTGAAGAGAACATTCCCGGACCCTTGCACCCTGAGCTGGCATGCGCCAGTCCAGCCCTCTGAGACGCCACAATTCCTTGGATGGGAGAGAAGTTCAGGGAATTTCTGCTTGGCCACGTGGTGGGAACCCACATCCCCAACACATGGCCAAGGGGTCTCAGTCGTGCTACACGTAGGGTGGTGGCGTTGACAGCCTTTCCCTCAGCAGTGCCCTCGGCCATTCCTGGGTGGAGCCCGATTTTCTTTGTAAAGTTGACAGTCGAGCAAATGTTCATATTTTCGTGGGATCTGCACACGTCTTCGTCCATTGTGGTCATGATCTTAGTTACCTGCTAATTATTTTTACAATGATTACAACATTTCCTCACCAAGGATCTTTCTGACCCGCCTTAGAACTTAAGACCTGATTCTAGCAATAAACGTGTCCAAGATGAGGAGTGACTGGCATGGGTGTTCTTGGGGGTTTTGCTTTAGGGTCATCTTCTGCCCAAACATCGCTGCAGGAGTAGCAGGTTCTGGAGTTCTGGTGGGGGGCTCTCCATGGCTTCCGCACCTCAGCTCGTCCCCCTACCTTCCATGTCCTGCTCAGAAGACCGACCCCTTCAGGTCCAGTCCCCAGTTGTTGGTTTTTGGTTTTGTTTTTTGGTTTTTTTTTGAGATGGAGTCTCGCTCTGTCACCCAGGCTGGAGAGCAGTGGCATGATCTCTGTTCACTGCAACCTCTGCCTCCTGGATTCAAGCACTTCTCCTGCCCCAGCCTCCCAAGTAGCTAGGATTACAGGCACGCGCCACCATGCCCTGCTAATCTTTGTATTTTTTAAGTAGACATAGGGTTTCACTACAGTGGCCAGGCTGGTCTTGAACTCCTGACCTCAAGTGATCTGCCCACCTCAGCCTCCCAAAGTGCTGGGATTACAGGCACAGGCAGGAGTTGGGCATGGAGGTGCCTCTGTAGGTCCTGCCCACCGGGTACACTTGAGACTTTCGTGGAGCCTCCACAGCCCAGCTTTGCTGATCTTTTTGCTTTTAATCCAGAATAACCCCCAAGACTAGAACTTTCAGTTCCTCTATCTGGTATGAGAGGCAGCTTGGCTGTGGGTGTTCAATCATCATTTCCACCTGGTCTGAGTACCCAGTCCAGTGAGGCAGGGTCACTGCCGTTTCAACAGAGGGTTTCCCATCACCAGGTGACTAGGTATAAAGTCGATCACTAGATCACCAGGAAGTGCAAATGGGACTCTCAGGCAGCACTGTCCACCAGAAAGATGATGCAAGCCATGTGTGGAACTTTTCACTGGTGGTAGCCATATTAAAAAAGGAAAAGGAGGGCCGGGTGCTGTGGCTCACACCTGTCATCCCAGCACTTTAGGGAGGCTAAGGCAGGAGGATGGCTTGAGCCCAGGAGTTCAAGACCAGCCTGGGCAACATAGTGAAACCCCTTCTCCACAAAAAAAAAAAAAACTTGCCAGGTATGGTGGTGTGCACCTGTAGTCCCACCTACACAGGAGGCCGAGGCAGGAGGATTTCTTGAGCCCAGGGGTTTGAGGTTGCAGGCAGCTATGATCGTGTCACTGCACTGCAGCCTAGGCAACATGGTGAGCCTCTGTCTCTAAGGGGTTAAAAAAAAGAGAAATTTGGGGGATTGAAAAAAGAAATAAATTTTTTTTTAAAGAAAAAGGTGAAAATAATTTACTATTTCTTTTTTATTATTATTATATTATTATTTTTTTTTTTTTGAGATGGACTCTTGCTCTGCCGCCCAGGCTGGAGCACAGTGGTGCCATCTTGGCTCACTGCAACCTCCACCTCCCAAGTTCAAGCAATTCTCCTGCCTCAGCCTCCTGAGTATAGCTGGAATCACAGGCCCCCGCCATCATGCCCAGCTAATTTTTGTATTTTTGTAGAGACAGGGTTTCACCATGCTGGCCAGGCTGGTTCTTGAACTCCTGACCTCAGGTAATCCTCCTGTCTCAGCTTCCCAGAGTGCTGGGATTAAAGGTATAAGCCACCACACCCAACTCATTTTTTTTCCATTGCAGTCAAATGCACACAATGTAAAACTGGCCAGTAGCTTTTCTCCTGAAAAAGTGGACATTGGGGTTTTCTCTCTCTCTCATTCTCCCAACTCTGATTTGCTGAAGTGCATGGTGGTGTTGGGACCCTCATCGTAGGCGAGCATATGCTGGCCCACACATGTTCCACTGTCCACTTGACCCACAGAGCACCCTCCACCCTGACCCCAGCCATCCCCTGACCTCTGCCTAGCTGACCCCTCCACTGGGATGCCCCCAGCCTTCCTCAGCATACCTTATAGGCCCTGGGGAGCTTGGGGCACTCTAAAATGAGATATTCTGCGAAGAGGGCTTGTAGTAGCTGGGCACTGGCTTACACCTGTAATCCCAGCACTTTGGGAGGCCAAGGCAGGTGAATCACTTGAGCCCAGGGGTTCGAGACCAGCCTGGCCAACATGGTGAAACGCTGTCTCCAGTAAAAATACAAAATTAGCCGGGCGTGGTGGCAGGTGCCTGTAATCCCAGCCATTCAGGAGGCTGAGGCAGACGAATCACTTGAACCCGAGACGCAGAGGTTGCAGTGAGCTGAGATCACGCCATTACACTCCAGCCTGGGCAACAGCAAGATTCCATCTCAAAAAAGAGGACCTGTAGTCCTTAAGGGTCTCAAAGGGGTCTGTCCCCAGCCCCTGAAAGGTTGAGAACTGCTGAGCCAGAATCAGCAACTCTGCGAGTGACCACCCAGGGCAGTGGTCACCAAGCCTGGGGTCTGGGGGCAGGTAACACCTAAGGGCCTCAAAGGGGTCTGTCCCCAGCCCCTGAAAGGTTGAGAACTGCTGAGCCAGAATCAGCAACTCTGCAGAGTGATCACCCAGGACAGTGGTCACCAAGCCTGGGGTCTGGGGGCAGGTAACACCTAAGGGGTGAGGTGGTTTCTCTTTGGGATGATGGAAATGTTCTCAGGTTGACCGTGGCACCGCTTGTATGACTGTGAATATTTTAAAAGCCACCAAACTGTCTCCCTTTTGTGAATAAATTGTATGATACATGAATTATATTTCAATAAAACTGTTTAAACACACAAGCACACAAAGAGCCACTGGACCAGCTCAGAGAGTGGGAGTGGCCTCCCTTTCTGGAAACATCCATCCTGTCTGCTTCATGTCTGGACTCCACGGTCAGTATCCAAGGCCTTCCCAGTCCAGGCTCCATCCCTGAAGGTGGCTTGCTTTTCCTCCTGGCACTTGTCATCAGGTGTTCACGTGACTTCCCCATACAGAGGCGCCACTCCAAGGGCCCCACAGGTATGAGCTGGTAGGTAATTGAGTCTCCCAGTAGGTAATGCGATGCCCTAATTATGCGGGTGCCACTAGGAGCTGAGAAGGAGGCCCCTGCTGAGGGCCAGGATGGGCCTGCATCCCCCACAAGGGAGAGAAGAGGGAAACCCACCAAGTCTCTCCCACTCATGAGTCCTAGACAGAAGGACTCTCCTTCTGTCCACAGATGGGGTCTCCTGCACCTGTGCGACCCTGAGCAGTCCCTGGCCTGCCAGCTGCTCATAGCCACCTAGTGTCTTCCGTGTAAAAACAAAACAAAGCACAGCTGTACTCCGGGAGGCCGAGGCAGGCACGTCGCTTGAGGCCAGGAATTCAAGACCAGCCTGGGCAATATGGCGAGACCCTGTCTCTACAAAAAAAACTTAAAAATTATCTGAGCATGATGATACATGCCTGCAGTTCCTGCTATTTGGGAGGCTAAGGTAGGAGGATCCCTTGAGCCCAGTAGTTCGAGGCTACAGTGAAGCTATGATTGTACCAGTGCGCTCCAGCCTGGGTGACAGTGAGATCTGGTATCAGAAAGATGAAAAAGCGCAGCTGATACCGCATGATGCCCCAGGACACACACACTGCCTGCCGTGTTCCTGGGCCATGCTGTGCCCCAGCGCCTGCCAGAGACTAAGAGGTGCCCTTGCCCCATCCCACCACACGCTGGCTGAGGTGGGAACCCCAAGTGTCTTTAGTGATGCCAGTGTGTGTTGCTCAGTCTCAGCCTGGGGCCCTGAAAACACTCCGGGTCTGCAGCACAGTGGTGTGAAGCCACACCCTAAGGTGGCCTGATAGGAGGTGGCACCTCTGGCCTGTGTGCCCAGGTCTGTGGGGAGTAGAGAACAGCCCTCTATGGCTCAAGGCCACTTGGGGTCTGTGGGCAACACTTACTCAGAGATGGAGGGGACCCACCAGGCCAAGAGCATTCCTGAAGGCAGGCTGGGGAAGTGTGGTTTCCAACTGTGGCTCCGTCCTGTGGAGGGTAAGGGGCCAGAAGCCACCAGTGTAATATCCTTCACCCCTTGGCCAGGCACCAGCACCACAACATTTAACTGATTTCCATTCCAGCTTTCCAAGGCAAGACGGGCTTCCTCTGGTTCGCCTTTATTTGGATATAAGACTCCAGCTGGTGAGTGGGAGGTGCTGCTGAAGGCTTCCGTGGCTGAAAACTGTCCGGCTCGGTAGCCCTGGGGGGGACCTTGAATCAGTCCTTCCTCCCACCTTGCCTATGGGTTTCGCCACAGGCAGCCGTACAGCCCTAGCCCGTCCCGGCGTCTTCTGCTTTGCAGAAAGGGGCCCTCCATGGGCTCTAGCTGTGTCCCCTGTGCTCTTCAGGCAGTGTCAGGGGGTGGCAGCTCGGCCTGGCCACCAGCCCGGACCGCCTGGTATATGCTGAGGAGTGAGGAGATGGTGCCCAAGAGGCCCACCAGCCACAGCGGGAAGCGGCCGGCCCACAGCACACCCCGGGGCAGCCAGTGCACGGCGTTCGCCAGGTCAGCCAGGTTGCTGAGAAGCGACAGCATCTCCGACTGCATCTGCGCCTCCATGGCCCTCCGCTTGCCCCGGGCTAGTGGGCTGTGGGCAGAAAGGAGCAGCTTACACTCATGCTCACACCTGCCCGCCTGCCCTTCCCAAGCCCCCACATGCCCTGTGTGGCCCGGGCAGCCCTGAGTCTCTGGTGGGGAAGTGAGTGGCCACAGCCCCTGCCTGCCAGTGGGAGGAGCTGGCAGGGCCGAGGTGGCCTCCCCAACCCTCCACAGAGACTGAGTCCCCATCACCACCTCCCAAACCAAGCATCAACAGGGCAGGGACCCAGTCCTCAAATCTGCACCTCAGTCCTCCTGAACACCTGGAGATGGGGTCACGTATAAAAACAAAAAGCACAAATGCACTTTGGGAGGTGTGGAGGGACGGGGGAACCCCAGGAGCAATAAATACAAAATCAGCTGGGCATGATGGCGCATGCTTGTAATCCCAGCTACTCGGGAAGCTGAGGCAGGAGGATCAGTTGAGCCCAGAAGGCAGAGGTTGCAGTGAGCTGAGATCGCACCACTGTGCTCCAGCCTGGGCAACTGAGCAAGACCCTGTCTCAAAAAAGAAAAAGCAACAGTGATAATGGCCATAACCCTCAGGAAATTGACCATTCTCTCCAGCTGAGCGAGCAGCCATGAAGGCTCAGCCCTGGAGTCCTCGCTCAAGCAAGCCTCAGTTTCCCCATCTGTAAAATGTACCACTACCCACTGGAGGCTGAGGTGAGACCCCCATGACCTGTGAACAACAGACCTCAGTATGGGCCTGCACGGGGGTAACTCTGAGCCAGGATCCCACGCCTGCTGAGGGAGTGGGCCTTCCTGCTGGGTGACCGCGGGCTCCTACCTGGTGAAGGGCGCTGTGGGGCTCCGCAGCCTCTGTCTCAGCTTCAGCAGCACCCACAGGGACCTGCAGCACCAGAGCCAGAGGGAGGACGCCCCCGGGGGAGCAGGAGGGTTAGCTCCACAACACTGGCCCCGGACATAACAGTCTGGGACAAGGGCCACATCTCAGATAAGTGGCCTGCCCTCTCCCTGCCCCTCAGTCCCACGCCTGTGCCTGATTCCCTGGGACTCATCCCTAACACAGCCCAGTCCTGCCGGGGACATCTGCATCACATTCAGGAACATCCTACACTGCTGACATGGCATCCAGGGCCCGGCCCAGCCTCTGCAAACCACTGGCAAGTGCTCAAAGGAACATAAGCCCTGTGAGGTGTTCACAGCCCCGCACAGAGTCCTAGACAGAAGAGGATGCAAGGGGCCTGCAGTTGGACAGGCCTGGGGACGTTGTTTCCCCTCTGGGCCTGGGCTGCCTGGTCTGCTCTGTGTGTAAAGGCCCAGATCAGTGCCATGACAGCACTGATACCCCTGCACGCATACCCTGGACACTGGCTAGACCTGTGTGGATGACCCCTTGGGCCCCCAAGGCTGCCATCTGCAGGCTGAGGAAGGGGCTACCTGGTGGGCAGCCTCTGTGCTCCCAGGGGACTCTGCGGCCGTGCATGGCACCCACCCGGCCCTTTCCACCAGCCACCTGCACTCTCCAGCCTCGGCCATGGGATGTGCTGGGCTGTGACTGTGACCTACTGACCAGAATGGCCAGGGCCTGGTCACATCTCCGGCCACCCTGTACCCAGGGTGCAGGACACAGGGTAGTGCCAGTGGTACAGCAGGTGGGTACCTCCTGGGGTACTGGGGCAAAACACCGATTCCTGGCCTCCCCAGACCCACAGAATCAGAAGCTCAGCCAGGCACAGTGGCTCACATCTGTAATCCTGGCACTTTGGGAGGCCGGGGCAGGCAGGTCACCTGAGGTCAGGAGTTCAAAACCAACCTAGCCAACATGGTGAAACTGCATCTCTACTAAAAATACAAAACTTAGCTGGGCATGGCAGCAGATGCCTTTAATCCCAGCTACTCAGGAGGCTGAGGCAGGAGAATCGCTTGAACCCCGGGGGCAGAGGTTACAGTGAGCTGAGACTGCACCGCTGCACTCCAGCCGGGGTGACAGAAGAAGACTGTCTCAAGAAAGAGAATCGGAAGCCCTGGGCACTGGAACCTTAATCTCCATTGAGCAACCTCCCAGCTGATGCTCTGGCAGCCCTGGGCCTTAGGACAGACGTCTGGTCATGATAAGCGCACATGGAATGCTCCCACCCATTCCCTGTGCTCACCCCAAACCAGAGAAATGATGGGAAACCACGTGCCCTAAACAAGAATGCTGCAGCAGGCGGAGCACAGCTTTGACGGGCATGAAATTCCATTTGATACTGCAGGTGTGGACACATGTCAATGCCCAAACCCATAGGATGCCCAGAACCAAGCGTGAACCATAACAGAGCTATGCACTGGGGTGACGATGGGTCCCTGGAGAGTCATCAGTTGTAACCAGTGCACCATGGGGATGATGCCAGAAGTGGGGGAGGCCGTGCATGTGGGGATGGGGGTATGTGGGGACTCTGCATATTGCCCAGGCTGGAGTGCAGTGGCGTGATCTTGGCTCACTGCAACCTCCGCCTCCCCAGATTCAAGCAATCCTTCTGCCTCAGTCAGTTTCTGCCAACAAGCCCAGCTACTTTTTGTATTTTTAGTAGAGACAGGGTTTCGCCATGTTGGCCAAGCTGTTCTCAAACTCCTGGGCTCAAATGATCTGCCGGCCTTGGCCTCCCAAAGTGCTGGGATTACAGGCGTGAGCCACCACACCAGACCTATGCTAAGGATCCTCAGAAGTATTACCCTGGATCATCCAGGTGGTCCGGATGTCATCACAAGGTCCTTATAGGAGGGAGGAAGGAGAATGAGAATGGGAAAGGAGGTGTGACCCTGAGAGGCATGGCCCAGAGGTCATGCTTGGAAGAGGAAGGAAGGGACCATGAATCAAGGAATGCAGGTGGCCTCTAGAAGATGGAAAATCCAAGACCTCCCCTGGGGCCTCCAGAAGGCACCAGCCCCTGCTGACACTAGCCCAGGAGGGTTCTGACCTTCAGAATCCTAAGATAGTAAGTTTCTCTGGCTCAGCACTAGTTATGGTAATTCGTTCCAGCAGTTATTCAAAACAAATATACCAACAGAAGGAAGAAACAACAAAAACTCCAAGGAAAACTCTAAGAAGCAAGGACCTCTCAGTCTGAAGCCAGTGCTGTTCCTGGGGCCGCTCAGGGACCTTGGGTGCTCCCTTCTGGCCCATGCCACTTACCTGGCAACCCCCAGGAGCAGAGAGAGGGCCCATAAGGCTGTGCTCAGCGTCCACCACTGGGAAGAGTCCACGTGGAGGACCCGGGTCTCAGCTGCCCAGGCAACGTGCTCACAGGGGTAGTAGAGCTGGTCAGCCAGGTTCCCTAGGACGGACACCCAGCGGACAAAGGCATCCTCCTCCTGTAGGACCAGAAGCAGAGGGGGCCTGGGGTCAGACTTACCCACTGCCCATTTTAACACTGTAGCCATGCCAGGTAGCAGTGAACTGTTTCCTGACCCCGGACCCTGGGCAGCATCCCGGCCCAGCAGGCTGTCTGTGGCCTGCCCGCAGGAGAAAGGCTCTGGGGCTAGGGTCCCCGCACAGGCCTGATTCCTGCATCTCAGCAGCACAGTGTTCCGTGCCCCTTGGAGGGAGGGTCTCAACTCAGCTGTGCAGTGCGGTCCTCTGCGGAGCTTCCAAAACCCCATGCCCGATGCCAGCCATGAGGATTCTGTGTCACTCAGCCTGGGGCAGGCCCCAGGACCAGGAATTCTCACGTTCCCAGGGGATTCCCATGATCAGCCAAGTTGGGAGCCCTGCATCAGAGACTTCCTCCCCAAAGGCTTTCAGTTCCTGCATGGGCGAGCCTTCTTCCCCAAAGGCTTTCAGTTCCTGCATGGGCGAGGAACTCTGATGCCAGACTTTAGGCAGGGAGCATGAGAGGTGGCTCACAGGGAACCCTGACAGGCTGAGACAGTATGCCAATCTGTGGGCCAGCGCACACCCAGTGCTGACCACAAGACAGGCACAGAGCTGAAAGGCTCGCATCGCCTCCCTCAACCCCAAGCGAGTTACCATCCCATGATACAGACGGCTACACAGAGGCTCTCAGGGAAAGTCACTGGCCCCAGTTCCAGCAGGGATGGTCCTCCAGGACCTTGAATTACAATGCACATGCAGGCTCTTGGTCCTGCATGGCACCCATACCCTCTGCCCCAAGTTCTTAACAACCGCCTAGAGCCAGGGAGGCAGGACCAGTAGAGACTATAGGTACACAGCACTGAGGCCTGGTTTCTGGGACTGGAGCTCTGCTGCTGACTGGGGACCTCACCCCCTCTACCCTTACGGTCCTTGTTGCCTGCCACACCCTTTCCCTCCTCTAGACTTCCCAGGAAGCTCCTCCCCGCCCCACTGCTGCTTTTTTTTTTTTGAGATGGAGTTTTTGTTACCCAGGCTGGAGTGCAATGGTGCCATCTCAGCTCATCGCAACCTCCGCCTCCTGGGTTCAGGCAATTCTCCTGCCTCAGCCTCCTGAGTAGCTGGGATTACAGGCACGTGCCACCTTGCCCAGCTAATTTTTTGTATTTTTAGTAGAGACGGGGTTTCACCATGTTGACCAGGATGGTCTCGATCTCTTGACCTCATGATCCACCCGCCTCGGCCTCCCAAAGTGCTGGGATTACAGGCTTGAGCCACCGCGCCCGGCCTGGTGCTTCCTTCTTGATTCCTCTTCTTTCTGGCCAGTCATGATCCTGCCTCCCTCCGGGCTCCGAACCTCACTCCAGCTTCCCTCATCTGGCTGGCACATTTCCCACCTCTCTGAGGATGGCAGACTCCGCCCCAATGTGCTCATTCCACCCAGGTTTCCTGAGAAGCAGAGGGTCCAGGCTAGACTCTGGGGAGGGGCAGAGGAGGGACACAGACATATAAACCTGGAACCCAACAAAAGGGGCTTTTGTTCTGGCCAAGGGATACTTGTGGTGCAGGGCCCCCACCCCTTGCTTGAGGGCTCTTCCACTGAGGGGATAGAGGAGGGAGGAGTCTCCGGGAGTCACTAGACTTGGAGGAGGAGGATGCCATAGGTGGCAAAATAGGAAGGCGGCCAAGAGCAACACTCGTGATGTGGGACGATCAGGCCAAGGACATGTGGCGCTGAATGGGGTAGGGCTGGGGGTTTGGGGTGGAAAGCATCTGAGTAGTAAGTGCCTCAGAGGGGTGATCCCTGGGAGGACCGAGAGAACAGAGTAGCCCAGGGAGGGGCAAGACGCTGAGAGGCTGGTCCATGCAGCCTCTGAGATCATCCCCTGGGGGGCAAGATGGCCCTTTAGCTAGGCTGGCATGCTTGCGGGATGCCGCAGGGACAAGGCTACTCTCTGCAGCACTGTCACAATAGCAGAACCTCAGAAATCATGCCCCTGTGTGTCAACTGGAGACAGGTTAAATAAATCAGGATCTGCCAAGCAGAGCACTGTGTGGTCCTGAGAAAGGAGCTCTTTTTTAGACTGGTAAGAAATGATCGCCTGGTGCGGTGGCTCACACCTGTCATCCCAGCACTGTGGGAGCTGAGGCAGGTGGATCACTTGAGGTCAGTAGTTCGAGACCAGCCTGGCCAACATGGCAAAACCTTGTCTCTACTAAAGATACAAAAATTAGCCAGGCATGGTGGGGACTGCCTGTATTCCCAGCTACATGAGGGGCTGAGGCAAGAGAATCACTTGTACCCCAGAGGTGGAGGTCGCAGTGAGCCGAGATCATGCCACTGCACTCGAGCCTAAGTCACAGAGTGACACCTTGTCTCCAAAAAAAGAAGCTGACCACAGTGGCTGCCTCTGTGAGGAAAAACTGGAGGCCTGGAAGATCAGGAAGGAGGGAGTTTTTTAAAATTATATCCCCCTTTGGAACGTGTGAACGTGTTTGCTATTTTTAAAAATTTTAAATCAAAACAAGGACATCTGATCCTCTCAAGTAAGAAAGTGAAATTACAAAAAGTAATAAACTACCCACGCAGGGAGCATTTTGGGACAAGACTATAAAACGCTCACGGTGGCTCATGCCTGTAATCCCAGCACTCAGGGAGGCTAAGGCAGGAGGACCACTTGAGCCCAGGAGTTCAAGGCTGCAGCGAGCTATGATCACTCCACTGAACTCCAGCCTGGACAAGAGAGCAAGACCCTGTCTCTAAAAAAATTTTTTTAAATTTCCACTGAGGTCTGCACCCCACTCTCTACAGCCCCACAAACCCTGGTACCTGTGCCCCCAGGCCGTACTGCTTAGTGTAGACAAACATGGCCAGGTCATCAAACAGTCGCAAGATAGTCCTGCAGTGGCTGAGCTGGGTGGACACCACCAAGAGCCGGGTCCCCACTTCAGACCTGGTGGGACACTGCTCAACCAGGACCCCACCAACCAGCTGGCAGCAGTATCCCAGCACTCGGATCTGTGGGAAACCAGAAGCAGTTAGCATGCCCCTCCTGCTCAGCAGACCTGAGCTGAATCACCTCCCACCTGGGCCCGGGACCCAATCAATTAAGAGTGTGGAAGATTCTTTTTTTTTTTTTTTTTTGTGAGATAATCTCGCTCTATCGCCCAGGCTGGAGTGCAGTGGCATGATCTCAGCTCACTGCAGCCCCTCCACCTCCTGTGTTCAAGCGATTCTTGTGCCTCAGCCTCTCAAGTAGCTGGGATTACAGGAGTGTGCCACACGCCAGGCTAATTTTTGTATTTTTAGTAGAGACAGGGTTTTGCCATGTTGGCCAAGCTGGTCTAGAACTCATGACCTCAAGAGATCCACCCGCCTTGGCCTCCCAAAATGCTGGGATTATAGGCATGAGTCACCATGCCTGACCTGAGGGTGTGGAAGATTCTAAATCTACAAACTTACAATAAAAGCTGAAAGTTTAGGTGGGGCATTGTCGGTCACACCTGTAACCTCAGCAGTTGGAGGTGAGCTTGAGACCAGGGAGTTTGAGACCAACCTGGGCAACATAGCAAGACCCTGTCTCTACCAAACTTTTTTTTTTGTTTGTTTGTTTTGAGGCAGAGTCTCATTCTGTCACCCAGGCTGGAGTGCAGTGGTGCGATCTCAGCTCACTGCAACTTCCACCTGCCAGGTTCAAGCAATTCATTCTCCTGCCTCAGCCTCCAGAGTAGCTGGGAATACAGGTGCATACCACCACATCCAGCTAATTTTTGTATTTTTAGTAGAGACGTGTTTCACCATGTTGGTCAGGCTGGTCTTGAACTCCTGACTTCATGATCCACCCACCTCAACCTCCCAAAGTGCCGGGATTACAGGCATGGGCCACCACGCCCGGCTTACCAAACTTTTTTTAAAATTAACAGGGCATCATGGCCATTTGGGAGGCTGATGCTGGAGGATCACTTGAACCCAGGAGCTCCAGACTGTAGCAAGCTATAATCGCACTACTGCACTCTAGCCTGAGCAACAGAGTGAGTCCCTGTCTCAAAAAAAAAAAAGCTGAAAGCTTAAAAACTTACTTGTAGGCGGGACATATGAAGAAACATGACATCATTGTCCGAAGACACTGTGGGGAACAGAGTGCCTGCTCATGTAATTGAAGGGCATTGGGAACAGATGCAACAGGAACAAAGAAAACAAAACTCCTTACTTCCCACCTCCCAGGTCCTTCTTTCCCCAGGTGGCAGGAAGCTGCAGCTAAAGTGTATATTTACATCTGCCTGCCTGGACCAAAGCCTTTGGCTGTGTTGGCTGCTAGGCACAGGTGATCAGCCCTCAACCCAATGAACAACAGGATAATTTGCTCGAATTACTTTAGAGAGAAAGAACCCACTCAGTAGGTGATTTGGAGCCATGTGAACTAGGTCATCTCCACCATATATGTATATGTATATATACATATACATATAAATATATACATACATGTACATATATACATATACATATACATATATACATATACATACATATACACATACATATACATATATACATATACATACATATACATATATACATATACATATACATATACATATACATACATACATATACATACATACATATACATATACATATACAATACATATACATATACATATACATATACAATACATATACATTGGAGACAAAGTCTTGCCCAGGCTGGAGTGCAAGGGCATGATCTCAGCTCACTGCTTTGCCTCCCAGGTTCAAGCAATTCTCATGCCTCAGCCTCCTGAGTAGCTAGGACTACAGGCTCACGCCACCATGCCCAACTGATTTTTTGTATTTTAGTAGAGACGGGGTTTCACATTACCCAGGCTGGTCTCAAACTCCTGAGCTCAGGCAATCCACCCACCTTAGCCTACCAAAGTGCTAGGATTAGATGCATGAGCCCCTGCTCCCAGCCTCCCTTTTATCTTTAGTTTACCTGCTTTTCGGAAATTGCTTGTTCCTTTATTATTTTCACTTGTAATTCCTTTCCAGCCCCATTATAATGGCAAACACTGCAACTTGAATGTCCAACTTGGGGGGGATTTGTTAAAACCCCCCAATCATAAGACATTTTAATAGAATCTAAATGTCTAGCCACCAGTACACCCCCTGGTACAACCTAAATGTCTATCTATAAGAGACTGGTGGGGACAAGCTAAGAGTCCAAACTCAGGGGCATGAATGGCATAACCTAAACGCCCAGTCATATGAGACTTGATTGAAACTTAAAACTGTTCAGCCAGCCAGGCATGGCAGCTCACGCCTGTAATGCCTGTAATCCCAGCACTTTGGGAGGCCAAGGCAGGTGGACCACCTGAGGTCAGGAGTTCAAGACCAGCCTGGCCCACATGATGAAACCCCCATCTCTACTACCAATATAAAAATTAGCCAGGCATGGTGTAAACCACCTGTAATCCAAGCTACTGGGGAGTCTAAGGCAGGAGAATCACTTGAACCGGGAGGCGGAAGTTGCAATGAGCCAAGATCACGCCATTATTGCACTCCAGCCTGGGGGACAAGAGTGAGAGTTCATCTCAAAAAACAAAAACTGTCCAGCCATAGGGAAAGCCTGACAATATCCTAAATCCCCACATGAGATTGTTTGGGACAACCCAGGGACCAACTACAGTGGCCTGGTCAGATCCTAAATGTCCAAACATGGGAATGGGAATCTGGCTGGTATGTAAACATCCATCCAGGCTGGGTTGGCAGAAACGATCTGCCATGACCAACTACAAGGGATTTTGTTGGAACCCATCACTGCTCAGGCATGGCAGGGGCCTGGCAATGGTGGGTTTTTTGGTCTAGGTTGGCTGAAACAACCTAAATGCCCAACTATAGGGGATCTGGTTGGAAATGAATGTCCAGCCACTGAGGGGGGGGGCCTGCAACATCCCAAATCCCAACATGATATTGTTCAGGATGACACAGGGACTGACTTCAGTAGCCTGGTCAGATCCAAAACGTCCAAACACGGGAATCTGGCCAGTGTGTCAATGTCTAGCCAGGTTGGGTTGGCAGAAATGATCTAAGTGTCCAACGCTAGTCGAGCATGGTGGCTCACGCCTGTAATCCCAACACTTTGGGAGGCCAAGGCGGGCAGATCACGAGGTCAGGATATGGAGACCATCCTGGCTAACATGGTGAAACCCCGTCTCTACGAAAAATACAAAAAATTAGTCGGCCAAGGTGCCACGCGCCTGCAGTCCCAGCTAATCGGGAGGCTGAGGCAGAAGAATCGCTGGAACCCGGGAGGCGGAGGTTGCAGTGAGCTGAGATCGCGCTATTGCACTCCAGCCTGCGCTACAGGGCAAGACTCCGTCTCAATCAATCAATCAATGAATGTCCAACGCTAGGGCACCGCGTTTGAGCCTAGCACGGAGGGGGCCACTGCGACGGGGTACTCTGGGTGATGCCGTCCCTTCTCTGGCCTCAGTTACTCCGTCCTGAGCTTGGACCAAACTCTAGGACCTCCGGCCCCAATCCGCCCCTGCCTCACCAGGCGGTCCCGGCCCCTGTACGACTCCAGCGCCGACGCCAGGCCGCTGAACGACGCCATGGCAACTCCGTGACGACACCGCACCGCGCCAGGGGGCGGGGCCCTGCCGGAGTCCCGGGAGCGCCCCGGAAGTCCTTGCGCGCTCTGCGCAGGCGCGGCCGCGGTCCTTGTCCCACGGACTGGCTTTTTGTCCGCTGCAGGGGAGGGACAGAGTTTGCAGAGGTGGGGCCGACACATGTGTGCTCTCCAGGCCTGCATACCCTGGATGATCCTCGGAGCTTGCTGCATTCTACCCCACGGCGTCTTGGCCAACTACCCACGCACAAAAAAGATATTTCTAAGTTTAACCAACTACCCACACGCTCAAAAAATATTCTAAGCAAAACCACTAACCTGCTGGCAATGGTGCAAGGAGAGATTTTCCTGTTTCATTTTTGTGCTTCACCTTTTCTGCACTGTCTGCTGGCCTGTAGTGAGCAGAATGACTGCTGTAGTATCACAAGGCATCTTTCGGCGCTAAGGAAATGCTTGGAATGTTTCTAGAATAGAAAAGAATCGTAACTGGACTTGCTCGAGAAAGGGTAACCGGGGTATTGGGGAAATACTACATTTTCACCTTTATGCCATTTTGTAGCTGTTAAATTTTGTGCAATGTGCATGTATCATTTCATCCAAAAAAAAAAAGTCAATACCACTTGTCATCCGTTTTTGTCTGTTATTGAAGTGAAATTCGAACAAGATGAAATTAACCATTTAAAAATGCACAATTCTTGGCCGGGCGCCATGGCTCACGCTTGTAATCCCAACACTTTGGGAGGCCGAGGTGGGTGGATCATCTGAGGTCAGGAGTTCGAGAAGAGCCTGGCCAACATGGTGAAACCCCGTCTCTACAAAAATACCAAAAAAATTTGCCAGGCATGATGGCGGGCACCTGTAATCCCAGCTATTCGGGAGTCTGAGGCAGGAGAATCGCTTGAACGGGAGGTGGAGGTTGCAGTGAACCGAGATCGTGCCATTGCACTCCAGCCTGGATGGCAGAGCCAGACTCCCATCTCAAAAAATAAAAACGCTCAATTCAATGGCATTTAGTACATGCACATGTTGTACAGCCAACACCCCTTGCCAGTTTCAAACTATTTTTATCACCCAGAAAAGAGACCCCTGTAGGAAACCAGAATATGCCTTTCTGAAATATGCAACCTTGGTATAGGATTATTTTGAGCTGAGATCAATGGAGCTGATACAGGAAAAGCTCTCTGCTCTTCCTGATTTGCCTCAAAGCAGGAACTAAATGTACAAAGGTGCCCTCCTCTCCTCTCTATCAGGAAGGACAAAGGTTGATCACCAGTGACACCTTTAGACCCTTTCTGGAAACGTCTTTTTTTTTTTTTTGAGGCAGAGTCTTGCTCTGTTCCCAAAGCTAGAGTGCAGTGGTGCCATCTCTGCCCACTGCATCCTCCGCTTCCCTGGTTCAAGTGATTCTTGTGCCTCAGCCTCCCAAGTATCTGGGATCACAGGTGTGCACCACTGTGCCCAGCTAATTTTTGTATTTTGGTAGAGATGAGATTTCACAATGTTGGCCAGGCTGGTCTCGAACTCCTGACCTCAAGTGATCTGCCCACCTTGGCCTCCCAAAGTGCTGGGATTACAGGTGTGAGCCACCATGCCCAGCCTCAATGTCACTTCCCCAAAAATTTGCTGTTCTATGTGGAAGGTGCTATATAAGCGAGTTATATAAGCTATATAAACCACCTCATTTCTCTGGCATCTCCATGCATACATAAGGCATACACATGCTAATAAATTTGTTTTCCCCTTGTTAATTTTTTTTTTTTTAACACAGGGTCTCACTCTGGGAGGAACCAAATTTGCAGAGGTGAGGCCAACACATGTGTGCTCTTTGGGCCTGAAGACCTAGGATGATCCTCAGAGCTTGCTACATTCTGCCCCACGGTAGCTTGACCAACTCCCCACAAAAAAAGAGTACAGCAGCATGATCATACCTTACTGCAGCCTTGAACTGCTGGGATCAAGCAGTCCTCCCACCTCTGCCTCCTGAGTAGCTGAGACCACAGGTACCCACCACCAGAACTGGCTAATTTTATTTTTTATTTTTTGTAGAAATGGAGTCTCCATGTTGTCCAGCTTGGCCTTAAGGGATCCTCCCGCCTCAACCTTCCAAAGTGCTGGGATTACAGGCATGAACCACCATGCCTGCTCTTGTTAATTCTTTCATTGCAAGGGTCCATCACAGGTAAGATCTAAGAATAGAGGAAAAGTAGTTTTCCTCCCCTACAGCCTGTTTCCATAAAGCAATTACTCAAGTCTTCCCTCCTCCCAGTCCCTGGCAACCACTAATCTGCATTCTCTGTTGTCTCTCTATATTTTTAGCTCTTCTTTATATCTTTTTTTTTTAGACAGAGTTTCACTCTGTCGCCCAGGCTGGAATGCAGTGGCTACATCTTAGCTCACTACAGCCTCCGCCTCCCAGGTTCAAGCAATTCTACTCAGCGTCCTGAATGGCTAAGAGTACAGGTGCGTGCCACCACACTGGGCTAATTTTTGTTTTTGTTTTGAGACAGAGTTTCGCTCTTGTTGCCCAGGCTGGACTTCAATGGTGCGATCTCCACTCACTGCAACCTCCACCTCCCAGGTTCAAGCGATTCTTCTGCCTCAGCTTCCCAAGTACCTGGGATTACAGGCATGCGCCACCACCCTGACTAATTTTGTATTTTTAGTAGAGACAGGGTTTCTCCATGTTGGTTGAGTTGGTCTTGAACTTCCAACCTCAGGTAATCCACCCTCCTCAGCCTCCCAAAGTGCTGAGATTACAGGCGGGAGCCACCACACCCAGCCTAACTTTTGCATTTTAGTAGAGATAGGATTTCACCATGTTGGCCAGTCTGATCTCGAACTCTTGACCTCATAGGATTCACCTGCCTCACCCTCCCAAAATGCTGGGATTACAGGCACCAGCCACTGTGCACAGCCTTCTTGATATTTCGTATAAATGGAATCATACAATATGTGACCATTTGTGTTGGCCTCTGCCACCAAGCATTATGAGTTGTTTTGGTTTTTGCTTTTTGTTTTTGAGACAGGGTCTGGCTCTGTCACCAGACTGGAATGTAGTGGTGCATTCATAGTTTATTGCGGCCTGAAATCCTGGGCGTGAGAGATCCTCCTGCCTCAGCCTCCACATTGCCAGGGACTACAGGTGCACACCACCACATCTGGCCAATTTTTAAATTTTTCTTTTGCAGAGGTGGGGTCTCTCTATGTTTACCAGGCTGATTTCGACCTCCTGGACTCAAGGGATCCTCCTGCCTTCGCCTCTCAAAGTGCCGGGATTACAGGCATGAGCCACCACTGAGCATGTTTGTTGAAGTTCATGTAAGTTGCAGCGTGTATCAGAATTTCATTCTACTTGCAGCTGAATGACATTGCGCTGTATAGATGGATCGCATTTTGTTTATCCAGGCATCAGCTGATGGTCATTTGGGCAGTTTCTGCCTTTTGGGGATCGTGAATAAGAACAGCTATAAACATTCGTGAATATGTGGTTGGAGTCCCTGTAAATTCATTTCCTTTGGGTCTATATCTAGAATTAGGATTGTTGGGTCATATGGTAACTTTATATTTAACTTTTTTTTTTTTTTGAGACAAAGTCTCGCTCTTGTCCCCCAGGCTGGAGTGCAATGGCATCATTTCAACTCACCTCCATCTCCACCTCCCAGGTTCAAGTGATTCTCCTCCCTCAGCCTCCTGAGTAGCTGGGATTACAGGTGCCCGCCACCCAGCCTGGCTAATGTTTGTATTTTTGGTAGAGAGCTTTACGATGTTGGCCAGGCTGGTCTTGAACTCCTGACCTCAGGTGGTCCACCCACCTCGGCCTCCCAAAGTGCTGGGATTGCAAGTGTGAACCACGGCGCCCAGCTGTATTGAGCTTTTTGAGGAATTGCCCAACAGTTTCCACAGCAGCGGTACCATTTTCATACCCACCAGCATTGTACAAGGGCTCCAAATCTCCACGTCCTTGCAGCATCCGTTTTGATTACGATAGCCATCGTAGTGGGTGTGAAGTGCTAACCCATTGTGCTTTTGTTTTCCCTTTTCCTAATGACTAATGATATTAACCAGTTTTTTTGTTTGTTTGTTTGTTTGATTGATTTTTTTTTTTTTTTTTTTTTGAGACACAGTCTCAGTGATTGCCAGGCTGCAGTGCAGCGGCGATCTTGATTGAGATCAGTGATTGAGATCTCGGCTCACTGCCACCTCCACCTCTCAGGTTCAAGCAATTCTCCTGCCTCAGCCTCCAAGCAGCTGGGATTACAGGCACTTGCCACCAAGCCCCACTAGTTTTCGGAGTTTTTAGTAGAGACAGGGTCTCACCATATTGGCCAGGCTGGTCTCAAACTCCTGGGCTCAAGTGATCTGCCTGCTTCAGCCTCCCTAACTGCTGGGATTACAGGCGTGAGCCACCATGCCTGGCCTTTTTTTTTTTCCTTATCATTTTGAGGCTGGAGTGTGGTGGCTTGATCATAGCACCACAGCCTCGAACTCCTGGGCTCAATCCTCAGCTTCCCATAGCACTGGGATTACAGTTGTGTGCCATCACACCTGGCCCCAAGAGACTCTTTAACTCCCAAATCCAGCCAGCACCTGCCCCTGTTAGGATTTGGGTCCACTGGCCGGGCTCGGTAACTCATGCCTATAATCCCAGCACTTTGGGAGGCTGAGGCAGGCAAATCGCTTGAGGTTAGGAGTTCAAGACCAGCCTGGCCAACATGGTGAAACTCTGACTCAAAAATAATAACTTTGGGTCCACGGGTCTTTATGCACTCCCCTCCCCCACAATTGGGGTCACTTTTTTTTTTTGAGACAGAGTCTCTGTCACCCAGGCTGGAGTGCAGTGACACGATCTCTGCTCACTGCAACCTCCACCTCCCGGGTTCAAGCGATTCTCCTGCCTCAGCCTCCCCAGCAGCTGGGATTACAGGCACATACCACCAGGCTAATTTTTGTATTTTTAGTAGAGATAGGGTTTCACCATGTTGGCCAGGCTGGTCTTGAACTCCTGACCTCAGGGATCTACCCCACCTCAGCCTCCCAAAGTGCTAGGATTACAGGAGTGAGCCATTGCGCCCAGCCAGGGGTTACTCTTTCTGCAGCAGAAAAAAACCCACACCAAGCCGGCTGCAGTGGCCTGTGCCTGTAATCCCAGCTACTCAGGAGGCTGAGGCAGAAGAATTGTTTGAACCCAGGAGGTGGAAGCTGTAGTGAACCAAGATCGCGCCTTTGCACTCAGCCTGTGCGTCAGAGCAAGACCCATCTCTAAAAAAGTTAAAAAAAAAATCCAAAGCCAAGGTCCAGATAGGCAGAGGAAAAGAGGCCTCTGGCTGCAAAGCCTGCTGCTGCATGAATAAGCAGATCCCTCCTCTGGAGCCCGTGCTGAGCCCTGTTCTAGGCAAGAGAGATAGAGCAGTGAGCTTTGCAGAGACAGCCCAACCCTCCCAGCGTCCCTCTGAGTATGACCTTTGAGACAGACACAGGAGCTGGCCTGGGTTCACAGCTGGCCTTGGTGTTGCTAGGAGCTGGCCTGGCAGTCACAGCTGAGCCCCGATGTCCTGCTGGACATAAACACTCTCACAGGGTGCCAGCATCAGACAAGGCCACTCTGTGACCATGGCAGAGCAAGACAAAACAAGCCCGCCTCTGTAGTCATGTCTGAACACAGGCAAAACACAAACACTGCCCACGCCGTGAGAGTAATCGGACCTCCTCCACGGCTAGCTGATACCAGCGACAGCTGCTTCTTACCAGCACCTTCTGAATGGTTCCGAATGTTAACTAGATTGACAAGACACCAAAACTCCCTATGACCCTTATCTTTTGACAACTGAACATTCTTAATTGTACATATTTTTGTACAATTGTCCTTCTTTCCTTCCTTCCTTCTCTCCCTCCCTCCCTCCTTCCTTTTTTCCTTCCTTCCTTCATTTCTTCTGACTTCTTCATACAGATGATTAAGATGCTGAATAATGAGGTGGGGCGTGGTGGCTCACGCCTGTAATTCCAGCACTTTGGGAGGCCGCGGTGGGCAGATCACAAGGTCAGGAAATTGAGACCATCCTGGCTAACACAGTGAAACCCCATCTCTACTAGAAATACAAAAAAATTAGCCAGGCATGGTGGCAGGCTCCTGTAGTCCCAGCTACTCAGGAGGCTGAGGCATGAGAATCGCTTGAACCCAGGAGGCAGAGGTTGCAGTGAGCTGAGATTGTGCCACTGCACTCCAACCTGGGCAACAGAGACTCCATCTTAAAAAAAAAAAAAAAAAAAAAGATGCTGAATGATAGAATTGCCTCTCTCCCTAGCTGGTCTTTTGTGTTGTTTTCGAGATAGAATCTCACTCTGTCACCCAGGCTGGACTGCAGTGGTGCAGTCACAGCTCACTACAGCCTCAACCTCCTGGGTTCAAGAAATCATCCCACCTTAGCCTCCTAAGTAGCTGGGACTATAGGCACACACCACCACACCTGGCTTATTTTTAAATTTTTGTAGAGATGGATCTTACTGTGTTGCCTAGGCTGGTCTCAAACTCCTGGGCTCAAGCAGTTCTCCCACTTCACCCTCTCAAAGTACTGGGATTACAGGTCTGAGCCACTGCACTCAGCCTTTCTTGCTGCTTTTTTTTTCTTTTTTTGAAATGGAGTTTTGCTCTATCGCCCAAGCAGGAGTGCAGTGGCCCCATCTTGGCTCACTGCAACCTCTACCTCCTGGGTTCAAGCAATTGTCCTGTCTCAGCCTCCTGAGAAGCTGGGATTACAGGAGCCTGCCACCAAGCCCGATTTGAAAATACAAAAATAATTTTTGTACTTTCAGTAGAGACGGGGTTTCACTATATTTGCCAGACTGGTCTCAAACTCCCAGCCTCAAGTGATCTGCCCACCTTGGCCTCTCAAAGTGCTGTGATTACCAGCCTGAGCTACCGAGCCTGTCTGATTCATGTTTTCTAAATAGGTAGAGGCAAGCAGATTTTGTGGGTTGAAGTGATCTGGGAGGTGTTCTGCAGGAGGTGATCCTGAGAACCGGGAATGCTGGTCTCCAAGGGAGACAGAGAGGGAGCAGGGGAGACCCTTGTGATCTAAGCAAAGGCTAGAAGGTTCCAGGCGGCTGAGCAGAGGCAGAGGGTAGGGGGAGGCTTAGAGTCTGAAGCTGAAGGTCAGAGAAGGAGAGAGCCGACTCTCAGAAAGTGTGAAGACAGGAAGAGATTGAGAAGCCTAGGCAAAACCTAGGACACTTGCAAAGGACGGGAAAACCAGTAAGAAAGTGCGTGACAGGCCAGGCTCGGTGGCTGACGCCTGTAATCCCAGCACTTTGGGAGGCCAAGGTGGGCAGATCACTTGAAGTCAGGAGTTTGAGTCCAGCCTAACCCATGTGGTAAAACCCCATCTCTACTAAAAATACAAAAATTAGCTGGGCATGGTGGTGCATGCCTGTAGTCCCAGCTACTTGGGAGGCTGAGGCAGGAGAATTGCTTGAAACTAGGAGGCGGAGGTTGCGGTGAGCCGAGATCTTGCCATTGCACTCCAGTCTGGGTAACAACAGTGAAACTCCATCTCCAAAAAAAAAAAAAAAAAAGAAAAAGAAAGAAAAAAAAAAGAAGGAAGGAAAGAAAGAGAGAAAGATAGTGTGTGGCAGAAATGGCCAGTGGCTGGGGTGCAGGGCTGGAGTTGGGCAGAGGAACAAAAATGGGTCCCCAGAGGGGAAGGAGGAGAAAACCGTGGCCTTGATAACTGACTTAGGGCTAGAAGACAGGGATCTCATATCAAACATACAGCAGAATGCAGTGGTTAATTCTCCCAAGTTCTAGAATCAGAGCTGCACTGTGTTCAAGTCTCAAACAAATGGCCACCTCCCTGAGCCTCAATGCCTTCTGTGAAGCAGTAGTTAAAACCTCCCCAGGCCAAGCACAGTGGTTCACACCTGTAATCCCAACACTTTGGGAGGCTGACACAGAAGGATTGCTTGATCCCAGGAGTTTGAGACCAGCCTGAGCATCAAAGCGAGATCCCTGTCTCAAAAAAAAAAAAAAAAAAAAAAAGAAAAGAAAAAGAAAAAATTAGCCATCCATGGTGGTGCACACCTATAGTTCCAGAAGCTCAGGAGACTGAGATGGGAGGATTGCTTGAGCCCAAGAGGTTGAGTCTACCACACTTGGCTAGTGTGTGTGTGTGTAGATGGGGTGCCACTATGCTCAAGCTGGTCTTGGACTCAAGCAACCCTCTCGATTTGGCCTCTCAATGTGCCTGGATTACAGGTGTGAGCCACAGTACCCAGCTATTACTTTCTAACCTACTCTTCAATTTTTGTTGTTTTATTTTTTAATTATTGTCTGTCATCTCCTGCCCCGTTATCAATTCCACAAAGGCAGGGATCTAGGTCTGTTTTGTGAACTAATGTTAGTTCCCCACCCTCACTGGCCTCCAGGCCCAGGGACAGAAATAATCATTTATGTAGTGCCTACTGTATGCCAGACCTACATAGGTACATAGCTACAGTAGGTACCACATGAATGATTACTTATTTTCTTCTAATTTTTTTTTTTTTTTTGAGACAGAGTGTCACTCTGTTTCCCCGGCTGGAATGCAGAGACCCAATTTCGGCTCACTGTAACCTCTGCCTCCAGGGTTCAAGCAATTCTCCTGCCTCAGCCTCCCGAATAGCTGGGACTACAGGTGCACACCAGCACTCCAGGCTATGTTTTTTAATTTTTAGTAGAGATGGGGTTTCACCATGTTGCCCAGGCTGGTCTCTAACCCCTGACGTCACGTGATCTACCTGCCTGGGTCTCCCAAAGTGCTGGGATTACAGGGATGAGCCACCGCGCCCGGCCATGAATAATTATTTCTATCTCTGCTCTCCCTGGGGGCGGGCACAGAGGCTGTGCCAGTTTCCCGTGATGTCTCCAGCCAGCTCAGTGCTTGGCGCACAGAAAGGAGTGAAAGGCAGCATTGTCCCGGGCGGGCACTTGCTCAGCCCCTCGTCTCCACCCGTCTCCACCCGTCTCCACCCTCTCGCAGGTGGCTGATGTCCTGCGATGGCCGCAGAGGCCCTCCTGCCGTGCCCGCGCCCGTGCCCGATGTCCCAGTTGGACTTCCTCAAGGCGTCGCACTTCTCGCTGGGGCCCGACCTGCGGCTTCACGAGGGTACCATGCTCACCACGACGCACCGAGACTTCGCCTACCCGGCTGCCACCCGGGAGCCACCGAGCCTGCAGCCGCCGCCCGCGCTGCTCTTCCAGTTGGACCCGCGCTGGGACCGGGAAGAGCGCGTGTCGGAGGCGCGCCGCGCGTTCCCGCCTCCGTCCACGCCGCCGTGGGAGCTGCTGCGGGCGCAGGCGCGGGAACGCACGCTCGCCATGAAGGCCAGCAACCTGCACCTGCGCGAGGACGCGCACGCCGGGATCGGCCTCTCCAGCGCGCGCGCCGCCTACGACTGGCCTGAGCTGCCGGCTCGCGCTGGACAGCAGATCCGCGGCGCGCGCCTCATCTTCAACCGCGACTCCCTGCCGACCGGAGACCGCGACAAGCTGCGCATGCCGCTCACCACGCACCAGGAGCTCTTTCCACCCCAGGACGCGCGCCCGCAGCCCCGAGCGCCCAGTTGCCACCTCGGTGAGCGCGCGCCTGAGGGAACATTTGGCAATGTCTAGAAACGTTTTTGGTGGTTCAGGACTTGGGGTGTGGCCGGGCACGGCGGCTTAAGCCTGTAATCCCAGCACATTGGGAGTCCGAGGCGGGTGGATCGCTTGAGGTCAGGAGTTCGAGACCAGCTTGGCCAATATGTAAACCCGTCTCTACTAAAATACAAAAATTAGTCGAGTGCAGTGCCAGGTGTCTGTAATCCCACCTACTCAGGAGGCTGGGGCAGGAGAATCCCTTGAACCCAGGAGGCGGAAGTTGCGGTGAGCCGAGGTTGTGACGCTCCACTCCAGCCTGGGAGACAGAGCAAGACTTCATCTCAAAAAAAAAGAATAAAAGACGAGGGGTGAGGCCAGGCTCACACCTATAATCCCAGTGCTTTGGGAGGCCTAAGCAGGAGGATCTCTTGAGGCCAAGAATTAGAGACCAGCCTGGGCAACATAGGGAGACCCATCTCTACAAAATAAAAATCTTATTTTATTTTTTATTATATACAATTTTTTTTTTTTTTTTTTTTTTTTTTTTTTTTTTTTTTTTAGAAAGTGTCTCACTCTGTCACCCAGGCTGGAATGCAGTGGCACGATCTCGGCTCATGCAGACTGGATCTGCCCAGCTCAAGCGATTCTCCCACCTCAGCCTCCCAAGTAGCTGGGACTGCAGACATGCATGCCACCAAGCCCAGCTAATTTTTTGTACTTATTGTAGAGCTGCAGTCTTACTATGTTGCTCTGGCAGGTCTTGAACTCCTGGGCTCAAGTGATCCACCTGCCTCGGTCTCCAAAGTGCTGAGATTACAGGCATGAGCCACTGAGCCCAGCCCTTACAAAATAAAAATTAAAAAAAAAAAAAAAAAAAAAGACGACAGAGGTGCTACCAGCAGACAACAGGTAGAGGCCAGAGATGCTGTCAAATATCCTACCACAGACAGGGTAGCCCCCACAGCAGAGAATTAGCCAGCCCCAAATGTCAATTACACCAAGGCTCAGAAACCCTGGAACCACCTTTGGCCTCAGTTTCAGCATCAGTAGAGTGGGTATAACCTCCAAATCTGTCCACAGTGGCGTGCAGTTGACAGAAGTCATGAATGCCAGTTTTGGGTCAGACAAATCAGCTAAGTTCTCCAACTGCACCCTCTCCTCACCGCACCCCCCAGCCTTATCACCCTAGTAGCTATGGGAGTCTGAGCAAGTTGACCTCTCCAAGCCTCAGTTTCCCCATCTGCAAAATGGGTGCAATCATAGGGCCCACTTCATAGGATCTGGTAAAGCTGAATGTGCATGGTGTGTCTGATGCAGACAGCACCCAAAGAAGAGTAGCTGCCATTTGTGTGATTTTCCAATTCTGTCACTCCAGTGACCCTTTGGGTGAGCATTACTGCTCAGAGGCCCCTCTAAGATGGGCTCAGGGATTGTCAAACCCTGATCTGACATTTAGTTATGGTTCCTAGTTTCTGTGGTTTCTGGCAAGTTCCTTAACCTCTCTGAGCCTCAAGGAGGCTGTAACATAAGAGGAATGATACCAGGTCCAAGAGAAGAAGAAGAAGCTGGGCGCGGTGGCTCACACCTGTAATCCCAGCACTTTGGGAGGCCAAGGCAGGTGGATCACTTGCGGCCAGCAGTTGGAGACCAGCCCGGCCAACCTGGTGAAATCCCATCTCTACTAAAAATACAGAAATTAGCCGGGCATGGTGGTGGGCACCTGTAATCCCAGCTACTCTGGAGGCTGAGGCAGGAGAATTGCTTGTACCTGGGAGGTGGAGATAGCAGTAAGCCAAGATTGTGCCACTGCACTCCAGCCTGGGCCACAGAGCGAGACTCCATCTCCAAAGAGAGAGAGAGAGAGAGAGAGAGAGATACCAGGTCCAATAAGAAGGTGCAATGCACTTAACCTATGTGTGGCTCGATATAGTCCTTGGTAGATATTTTTTTAATTTTTTTGTTTTGTTTTGTTTTTTGAGATGGAATCTTGCTCTGTGACCCAGGCTGGAGTGCAGTGGCACCATCTTGGCTAACTGAAACCTCCGCCTCCTGGATTCAAACGATTCTCCTGTCCCAGTCTCCTGAGTAGCTGAGACTACAGGCACATGACAACACGCCTGGATAATTTTTATATTTTTAGTAGAGATGGGGTTTCACCATATTGGTCAGGCTGGTCTTGCGCTCTTGACCTCAGGTGATCCACCTGCCTTGGCCTCCCAAAGTGCTGGGATTACAGGTGTGAGCCACTGTACCCAGCCGTATTTTGAAATTTATTATTATTAGAGATGAGGGTCTCACTATGTTGCCCAGCCTGGTCTTAAGCTCCAGGGCTCAAGCCATCTTCCCAATTCAGCCTCCTGAATAGCTGGGATTACAGGCATGAGCCATTACATCTGGCTTTTAGTATAATTTATTTTTATTTTGTGGTGTTTGCCAGACAGCTCTCAGTCTACACTGTTCAGAATGGCCCAGTTCCCCTACCCAGGCAAGAAACGGAATTCCAGAGGGCTTGAGATCCCAGGGAATTTCAGAATTTCAGCCTCTCTCTCTCTCTCTCTCCCCGCCGCATTCCTATCCTAAGGGGGCCCCAACACCCTCAAGTGGGACTACAAGAGACAAGATGGGACTTCCTACCAGAGACAGTTCCAGGCCCTGCCAGGCCGACCTGCCTTGATGTGTAAGAGGGTAAATCAAGGCTGTTTTGGAGCTGCGGGTGGGGGCAGAATTTGGGGCTGGGTGGTTTGGGCCTTCCTATCACTGTCTGCCCACAGGCCTCCTCCAGAGTGGAGCTGGGAGACTGCAAGATTGGCTATAGATCAACGTGTTCAGAGCAGAAACAGGCCTACAGACCCCAGGGTCTGCCTGAAGAAAGGTATAAAGGGGCCACTGCTGTCCAGGTGCAGTGGCTCACACCTGTAAAACCAGCACTTTGGGAGGCCGGGGCGGGTGGGTTGCCTGAGGTCAGGAGTTCAACATCAGCCTGGCCTATATGGTGAAACCCCATCTCTAGTAAAAATACCAAAATTAGCCAGGCATGATGGTGGGTTTCTGTAATCCCAGCTACTCAGGAGGCTGAGGTGGGAGAATCACTTGAACCCAGGAGGTGGAGGTTACAGTGAGCTGAGATGACACCACTGCACTCCAGCCTGGGCAACAGAGCAAGGCTCTGTCTCAAAAAATAAAACAAAAAAACAAAGGGGCCACTGCCTTCCCACCCAGATGGGACAATTGCCCTTCAGCAGCATGTGGTGTGTGCCCTCCCTTAGGACTTTAGGGCCAGTACTCTGCGTTTGAGTTCTCCGGCACTGGTAGCCAAGGCTGATCTCCCATTATCAGGCATTGCCCAGATGGATCCACTTTCTTTCTCTCTCTCTCTCTCTCTCTCTCTCTCTCTCTCTCTCTCTCTCACAGTCTCACTGTTGCCCAGGCTGTGGTGGTGCAGTGGCATGATGTGGGCTAACTGCAACCTCCACCTCCTGGGTTCAAGCAATTCTCCCACCTCAGCCTCCCAAGTAGCTGGGACTACAGGCTCGTGCCACCACACGCAGCTAATTTTTTGTATTTTTGGTAGAGACAGGGTTTCACCATATTGGCCAGGGTGGTTTTGAACTCCTGGCCACCCACCTTAGCCTCCCAAAGTGCTGGGATTACAGGCATGAGCCACCATGCCCAGCCTCTTTTTGTTTTGTTTTGTTTTTTTTGAGATGGAGTCTTGCTCTGTTGCCCAGGCTGGAGTGCAGTGGCAGTATCTCAGCTCACTGCAATCTCTGCCTCCCGGGTTTAAGTGATTCTCCTGCCTCGGCCTTCTGAGTAACTGGGATTACAGGCATGCACCACCATACCCAGATAATTTGATAATTTTAGCAGAGATGGGGGTTTCACCATGTTGGCCAGGCTGGTCTTGAACTCCTGACCTCAGGTGACCCACCCACCTCAGCCTCTCAAAGTGCTGAGATTACAGGCGTGAGCCACCGCGACCGGCCCACTTTACCTTATTCTTGATAGAATAATACATTACGTGCAGGTATGACAAGACCCAGGCCGCAGCCCACATCCACTATGTAAATATCCGTCCTGGAGACAGCCTCTTCCACGACAGGACCACCAAGACCGAGCACTTCTATGCCCGGGAGCCAGGTGAGAGCCTGCAGCCCGCCCCACCCCGCCTCCCACCGCAGCCTCCCAGGGCAGCTCTGCACCTGTTCCGCTCCTGGCAGAGCCTTTTGTTCTTCACCACGATCAGACTCCGGAGTCGCACATCCTGAAAGGAAATTGGTGCCCCGGCCCTGGCAGTCTGGACACCTTCATGCAGTACTTCTACGGCCAGGTCAGCCGAAAGAGCAAAGAGGCAGCAGGAAAAAGGGCTTCCCAGACAGAGCAAATAGCAGGGGCAAAAGTCCCAAGGTGGGAGCGAGCTTGATATGTGTATGCAGTAATCTCCTGGATGTACTTGAGTGATCTAGGGCGAGTCACTTCACCACTCCGAGCCTCGGTGGGTCTTTCTGTAAAATGTGATGAGTACCACCAACTCCCAGAGCTACCACTGGGGCCCAGAAAGGGTGAGGGAGCTGTCCAAGGTCACACAGAGCCCACCTCCTCCCTCCCCCCGCCCCTGGGCCCGGGGACCTCTCGGACACTGGAGCTTTCAAATGCCGTATGGTCCTACAGCCGCCACCCCCGACCCAGCCACCCAGCCGCCACGTGCCTCACGAGAAATTGCAGAGTCACGTGACCCTAGCGGAGCCAAAGCTGCTCAGACACTTCTTCAAGACCACCATGGGCTCGGACTACTGCCCCTCAGAGTGGAGGCAGGTGAAGAAAGCATCCAACCTCCACTTGCAGCGGAGCAACCTGCCTCAGGGCACTGGCGGTGAGCGCTCCCGGGAAGCCCCGCTTTATGGAGCCCGCCCCGCCTCTGGAAGCCACGACTCCCGGAAGCTCCGCCCCAGAAGCCCGGTCCTGGAAGCTTCGCCCTTGCCACTGCTCTGGCCCCGCCTCTAACGAGCCCCACCCTAACCCTGGCTTCACCTCCTGCAAGGCTAAATCCCACCTCCAATTGACCAGAACCCCAACTCCGCCCCTGAATAACCCCGCCCCTGAATAACCCCGCCCCTTCATGGCCATGCCCCGCCCCAACATAACCACCCTAGGGCCATAGACCCGCCCCTTCCCCATTCTCTGTCACCCTTCTTAACCCCTCCTCCATTGTCAGACTCTGTCTCCGCCCCTGACCGGCCAGCCTGCCCTGCCTAGCCGGGCCCCAGACTCAACTGGCCTGGCCTCGCCTTCTTAACCCTATGCCCTAGCTCTGGGCTCCTCCCCTAGCTCCTCCCTCCTCTCCCGCTGCTCTCTCTTCCTCAGCTCTTCCCCCTTCCTCTGGCTCCTCCCTTCTCTGACTCCTCCCTTCTCCCAGCTCCTCCCTCTTCCCCAGTTATTCCCCCTTTGTCTGGCTCCTCCCTCCTCCTTTGGCTCCTTTCTCCCTCTTCTAATCCATTCTTCTCCCCTGGTAAATATCAGCGCTGGCCTGGGCTTGGCTCTTGAACCCTTCCCTTGAACTTCCCCACATCCTCAGCCCCGCCTCGGCCCACAGCCCTCAACTCAGCCTCCCCCACCCGAATCTCCAGAATTCGATTTTTTAACCATGAACCAGAAGATGCTGAAGCCACACAGAACAGCTCCGGCCCCGGTGACTGAAGAGATGCTACAGAGGGTGAGGGAGGAGGAAGAGAGCCACCCTTCATTATGTAACCCCCACATGGGTATAGAGTTATCTCAGGATGACTATGCTGTCACCCAGCCTGAGTTAGTGATCACCCAGGTTCGGGGGCATCTTAATATTCCTTCAGCCTCAAGATCATCCCTAGCTTGGCCGAGTGCGGTGGTTCACATCTGTAATCCCAGCACTTTAGGAGGCCGAGGCGGGCGGATCACCTGAGGTCAGGAGTTCGAGACCAGCCTGGTCAACATGGCGAAACCCCGTCTCTACTAAAAATACAAAAATTAGCCGGGTGTGGTGGCGGTCACCTGTAATTCCAGCTACCCGGGATGCTGAGGTAGAGCTGCTTGGACCGGGAAGGTGGAGGTTGCAGTGAGCCGAGATCGTGCCATTGCACTCCAGCCTGGGCAACAGAGCAAGACTCTGCCTTAAAAAAAAAAAAAAGAGAGAGAGAGACATCATCCCTACCTCACCCCCCAGGGTCATGTCAAGGTCAGCCCAGGGGCATCTTTGCACCACAACCACTGTTATTCCCAAGATGAGAATCAATTCAGAGTCACCTAGCATCACCCCACCCCTGGGCTCCTTCCAGGGATAACCCTGGTTTCTCTCATGAGCTCTTCATTCAGCCCAGCCTGGGGCCCTTTCTATTCACCTCCTCCCAGGATTCAACCTTCCCAGCCTTTGATGCTTTGGCTCTGCCCTAACCGGCCCCACGCTACCCCTAGCTTCACCTCCTTAAGGGCTAAATCTCACCCCCAATTGATCAGAACCCCAACTCCACCCCTGGACAATCCCGCCCCTTCGTAGCCATACCTCGCCCCTACATAACTCCACCCTTCTGACCATAGCCCCGCCCTTTCCCTATCTTCTCTTTCCCAGTCTTAACCCCTCCCGCTTTGAGACTCTGGCTCCGCCCCCGACCAGCTAGCCTGCCCTGCCTGGTCCCGCCCCCCGACGCAACAGGGCTGGGGATCCTGGGATGGCCCGGGTGGGTCAGCCACATCCCAGGCTGCCTTGCCAGGCTGTTCACCCTTACTCCACAGTGCAAATACAGCCACATGGAGCCCCCTCTGGGTGAACTGCGCTTCTTCTCAACCCAATACAGGGACGAGTTTCCTTTCAAATACCAGGGCCCATCAGTCCAGAGGCTGAACAATCCTCAGGAGAGCTTCGTGCCCCTGGGCACGCCTCGCCAGCGCGGTTTCAGGGAGAAGATGGACCCTCGGGCCTGCCAGCCCCCTATGTACCCGTGCCCCAGCCGGCAATAAATGCCACCTTGGCAACATCCCACCCCTTCCCATCAGTCAGCCAGTCTCCAGAGGATGCTTGGGTGGGTGGGGGCTGGAGGCAGGGACTGCATTGAAGAGGATGACTCCATTGTTGCTGCGTTCCCATGAAGAGTATGGAGTCAAGGCTAGACGCGGTGATTCTCACCTGTAACCCCAGCTCTATGGGAGGCCAAGACGGGAGGATTGCTTGAGCCCAGGAGTTTGAGATCAGCCTGGGAACATAGGGAGATCCTGTTTCTACAAAAAATAAGATAATTGGCCTGATGCAGTGGCTCACACCTGTAATCCCAGCACTTTGGGAGGCTGAGGCAAGCAGATCACCTGAGGTCAGGAGTTTGAGACCAACCTGGCCAACATGGTGAAACCCTATCTCTACTAAAATAGAAAAAATAAGCAGGATGTGGTGGTGGGAGCCTGTAATTCCAGCTACTCGGGAGACTGAGGCAGGAGATTCACTTGAACCTAAGAGGTAGAGGTTTCAGTGAGCCAAGATCATACCACTGCCAGCCTGGGCGGCAGAGTGAGACTCCATCTAAAAAAAAAAAAAAAAGAAAAAAAAAAAAGACAGGCATGGTGGTATGTGCTTGTAGTCCCAGCTACTCAGGAGGCTGAGGTGGGAGAATCACTTAAGTCCAGAAATTTGATCCTGCAGTGAGCTATATAATTGCACCACTGCATCCAGTCAAGGCAACAGAGCAGAATCTCTGCATCAAACAAACAAACAAACAAAAAGCATGAAGTCATAGTACTGAACAGAGATATTGGTGTGGGCGGTTTGAGAACATAGATGCGGGGAGCGGGAGAGGCTGGATGGACACAGTCCAAACCCGGACTCCTCCATGTCCTGGATAGTAGTTTGGGCAAGTCATTTAACCCTTCTGAGCCTCAATTTGCTCATCTATGAAATGGGGATAAGTAGTCACTTTTCCATGAGGCTGTTATACATGAGAAATGTACACACTTTACAGTGCATGAGGCTGAGGTTGTGGAGGAGAAGCTTCGCTTCTGAGGATGAAAGTAGGGAAGGCCAGGGTGTGTGGAAAAAGCTTTCAATGGTGGGGACACTGAGTGTGGCCTTTAGAGGACATGGAGGGGTGGACACAGCTGAGAATAATGACCCAGCAGGTTTTTCCATCATGGGCAGAGACTAGAGGCCGAATGGTGCACTAGCTGTCAACTGGCCCCCAAGTCAGAGCAGAATTCAGGGGCAAATTGACAAAAGCCATCAAGACATTATGAGGTCCAAGGGAGTAAATGTTCAGCCAGGGACAAATTGTAAAGGGTCAAAAGGAGAATGATGTGATGGCGCCCTACAGCAAGTGAGTGACAGACAGGGCCCAGCAAGAACCAGCACCTTGGACAGCGCCTGACCTTCGCGGTCCCGGATGTGGCAAGGAGAAAGGTCTGTCTGGGATAAGGTGGGCCTTGGTGGCCATGCCTAGGTCCTGCCTCTGTAGGCTGTTGAACATCCAGCTTCAGGGAGTGAACATGGCTTTCCTGAACCAAGAATCAAACCTCCAAAAACCAAGTACCCCAATCCAATGAACCATGAGGTTGAGCCAATCTCAACCCTGGCCAGAAGCCATTTCCTGATTGACATCAGTTCTTCTAGGCCAGGTTGTCATTTCTGCAGGAAAGTCAGGAGTCCAGCTTTGCAACTTGTGGGAACAAAATGACTCTTTGGCCACACATGGTATCCACGTCGACCATGCAAGATTCTGCCAGCTGTAGAATATGTGCTCTAAAGATATTTGGTATCGTGCTGTTCTGAGTTACTTCAGGATAAACCAGGGCTTGTCATTTATTGATGTCTTAGGTCAGATCATCCTTTACTGGAGGCTGTCCTGTGCATTGGAGGATATTTGGTGCCATCCTTGTCCTCTACTCACTAGACGCCTCTACTCACTAGTACCTCTCCCTTCCACTTGTAACAAAATGTCTCAAACACTGCCAAATGTCTTCTGAATGGGAGAGAAACACCCTGGTTGAAAACCACTGCAATAAGCTCATCCTATTCTGATGAATCTGGTCTGCCTAGTGACCAGACTACGAGAACAGAAAGGCTTTCCCTTTTTGCCTTGCCTGCCAGGAAGCTCAGAATGTTTACTTTGTTCTTAAGTTCCATGTAGCTCTAGCTGCAGGATTATCTTTCTGCTTCATCCCAGGAATGGTTTAAAATAGCCTTAGGCATTAGATGAAAACAGTGCTTAGCAGTTACAAAGAGCTGGATTTCAGCACAACTTGAAGCATTTTCTGACAATGAAAATGACCAGCCCTAGGATGGCTTGCCAGGGAAGAACAGAAACTGTACTGAAAACGTTTAATCCGTGGGGAAGGACACTACATCAGGATGATTCTGGATGTATTTTTATGGATTTATGACTAACCCTCCTATATTCCACTCACCCCTTTACTCCCCACAAAAGCCTAGGGATCAAGATGAATAATATAGGATTGAATGTGAGTAACCAAGATTAATTTCTTTTTTTGAAACAAAGTCTTGCTCTTGTTGCCCAGCCTGGAGTGCAATGGTGCGATCACAGCTCACAGCAACCTCCACCTCCTGGGTTCAAGAGATTCTCCTGTCCCGGCCTCCCAAATAGCTGGGACAACAGGTGCCCACCACCATGCCTGGCTTATTTGTGTATTTTAGTAGAGTCAGGGCTTCACCATTTTGGCTAGGCTGCTCCCAAACTCCTGACCTCAGGTGATCTGCCCTCCTCTGCCTCTCTAAGTGCTGGGATTACAGGCATGAGCCACCGCACCCAACCACCAGGATTAATTTTTAAAGGAAAACAACTTTCTCAATGGTAAGTATCACATAGCAGCAGAATTCAGACCTGCCTTTCTGTCCTTAGGCAAGAATACATCCTGACCCTCACTTTCCTTACCCGTAAAATGGAAGTGTCAATAGTTCCTGCTCCTTAGAGTGGTAACAAGGGTTAAATAAAAGGTGCATGTACCATGTTCAGAAAAGGACCTGGCCCTTGGCTGCAGCTCAATGAATGGTGACTAAATGTGTTAATGTCTTAAGTCATTTTGTTGCAAGTGACAGAAACCAAGCTCTATCTGGCTCAAGTCAAAAAAGGAATTTTATTGATTTAGAAAAAGACAGGCCAGGCATGGTGGTGCATGCCTGTAGTCCCAGCTACTCAGGAGGCTGAGGCTGGAGGATCGCTTGAGCCCAGGAGTTCTGGGCTGGAGTGTGCTATGCTGATCAGGTGTCTGCACTAAGTTCGGCTTCAATATGGAGACCTCCTGGGAGCCAGGGACCACTAGGTTGCCTAAGGAGGGGTGAACCGGCCCAGTTCAGAAATGGAGCAGGTCAAAACTCCCGTGCTGATCAGTAGTGGGATCGTGCCTGTGAACACCCACTGCACTCCAGCCTGGGCAACATACCGAGACCCTGTCTCTTTAAAAAAAAAAAAAAATGTAAAAGGTAAAAAAATTAAGTAAATAAATAAATATTTTTTTAAAAAAAGGAAAAAGACAGGCCAGACGTGGTGGCTTATGCCTGCAGCTCCAGCACTTTGGGAGGCTGGGGTGGGAAGAACACATGAACTCAGAAATTCCAGACCAGCCTGGGCAGCATAGCAAGATCTCATCTCTACTAAAAATCATTTAGAAAATTAGCTGGGTGTGCAAATGTAGTCCCAGCTACTTGGGAGGCCATAGAGGAAAAGAAAGTGCTGTTAGATTCTGAGCCACAGAAACAAGAGATGTCATCATGAGTATTATTTATAATGGGATCATCCAGGCAGTGGCAGGGTGAGGAACCAGGGACATCATTCCATTGACCTTTTCTCCAGTCTCTCTGGATGTGCTGTGGGCTCTGCAGGAAGACGGAAAGCAGGTCTCAGGCTATGAGTCCAACACACATCCAGAAGGTTCAGGAAGGAAGAAGGAACCACAGGGTGTCTCCGTAAGGAGGACATGAGGGCAGAGGAGCATCTTATAGATCTGGGCTTGTACTGAGTGGTTTGGGTTTTTTTGTTGTTGTTTTTGAGACAGTCTTTCTCTGTTGCCCAGGCTGTAGTGCAGTGAGCCGAGGTTGCTGCAACCTCTGCTTCCTGGTTCAAGTGATTCTCCTGCCTTGACCTCCAGAGTACCTGGGATCACAGGTGCCCGCCACCACACCCAGCTGATTTTTGTATTTTTAGTAGAGATGGGATTTCACCATACTGGCCAGGCTGGTCTCG